AGACTGCAGCAGAGCTAAGCGTTTGTGAGTGGACAGGGGGTGATAAACTCCACAACTGGCACAGCTGGTGCTAAAAGACACCGTGTGATGCTGGCCAGCATAAAATACAAGAAGTGTCCATTAGGCAGATGTGTCTTGATCTGCTGCAGTAGGTTTGACTGATATCTCAAAAATTTTTAGATTGATATACATCCTAAAGCATCAAGATTAATATTCCTTACAAACTAATTAATACTTTTTATATTTTTATAATTGTGTACATCTTTGATTACAGTGAAAATCCATGTTCATCCAGAAATCGTCCATAATTTCATTATCCACACTATGCCTTGTAATTAAGTTTTCGGTACAATACAGATAGAGCTTCCAATCTGTCATCTTTGTACTGTTCTTTTAAATTATATTGCCTTTAATTTCTGTTCTTTCTGATGTAAAAACATAAATCTTGCAGTCTGCCTGGATGTATTTCAATCTGATCTGTATGAAAATGTAAACATACAAATTCTAATTAAGTACATGAGTAGAAATGTAATTGTTCCTTTCTTTTTTTCCTAGTTTCATGCCATGCAAAGACTAAATTGGAGAACAGTTAATTAAAAAAGACAACTTTTACTTTCCGTTTGACATGGCTGTACTGCTGTATTATTTATACAAAATATGATAATGGAGGTAGTTAATAGGTACCTAAACAATGTTAATGGCTAACTTATTTTGGAAATATGGTCATTAGCCAAGTTACTGTTAATAATCTCGTGACTGTGAAAACTGTTAAACACCCTGCTGTTTGGATTTTCAGAAAGCACAACTGGAGTAAGAAATTGATTCAGGAGTATTTCTGCTTATAACTTCACTTTTGCCTACACTTCCAGGCTTCCAGTGAGTCCACATTTGAAACTGTGTTGCCATCAGGCTTGCATCCCCGCGGTGATCTGTTTGATCTCTCAATTTAGGAGCTTGAATAAGGGAAAGAACTGCTGTTTTGGGATTGTTTTTTGTTTTTTTTTTTTTTTGTTTTTTTTGAGGGGGGGTAGTGGGACAGGGATTGTTTTTTTTCTTTAAGTGACGCAGGCACTGTCACTCAGTGTTACATACACTTGGTTTGGTTTGGGGGGTTTTTGCCTCTTAAATAGTTATGATGAGCAGTGTGGTGGCTACTGCCCTTTCCAGAGCTGAGTAAAGTGTGTTGACCCATACCACTATATATGACCTTTGTCTGATACCCACTTGAGAGGTTTTCAGGGAGTGATTTAACTGATTCTATTCCCATGTTTGAATTAAATGGGGTTTGGGTCTTTTCACATAAATAGAACAATGCTGCTGGCCTAGCCCTTGGAATTTAAACCCAGGTTGGATAGCTGATAGTTTTTCCCTGATGTGCAGATTCTATATTTTTCAATTGAGCCTAGAAGTCCAATAATATTTTATTAGTTTCACAGATAGCAGCATAAGAATTACTTGCATCATCAAACAAATGATTCCTGGTTACAACTATAAACTGGGAGCTGCAGTAGACTGTGTTCTGCAATTGGTGAAAGGCAAAATCCAGATCTGGATTCTAGAGAATATCATCTTCATTAAAATGTTGCATTTTAGAGAGCATTTTGTGGAAGCGAGTCTTTGACATTGTGCTGACAAGTGTCTTATATAAACTCCCATCTGTCAGCAAGTACAGAAGAGAGCGACTCAAATGTGGGACATGCAGCAGCAGCAAATCAACTGCCTGCTTTTAATAGTGCAGCAAGATGTTTGAAGACATTTGATATTTTTATTACTAGCTTTTGTCACAAAATGCATTTTTTTAAAAAAATACAGCCAAATGCTGTAATGGCTTAAAAAAAGCCAAAGCTGTTGAAACACTCGCTTCCTACACTTCCAACCCTTATTTCCTGAATGAATGCCCAGGCTGTAATAGGTGATTCAGGTCTGTGGTATGGGTCTGAGGTTCTGGGATCACTTAGAAAAACCCTTTTGAGACGTTTCTGCTTTCTGAAATGGAAACCCATCAAGACCATGTATTTATTATACTGTAATAGCTTTTATTAAGCCATTGTCCCAAGGGTAAGTACAAGTGGCTACAGCAGCTGAGGTTGCTTGCAGGTTTTGGATCACAGTTAAGTTCTGACAAATGCTCTCCTGTACTGTAAGTGTGTTGGTTTTCGTAATTTATGATTGAAACAGATGTGAAACCCACTGAGGCTGGTTGGGGGTGCTTCAGGGAAGTGATACGATTACATTTAGTCTAGAAGTTTAAACATAATAATTTGTCACAGCGAATTTATTCCTTCCTAAGAAACACCTGAGAGGTGGAGAAGAGTTGAAGAAGCCTTCCAAAGCACTGGCTGCAAGGATAGAGCACTTGCTGTTTCTTTTTCTCCCCAATCCTCTGAAGCTTTCTAATTTACATCATGATGGAAATTCCTTTCCTTTCTACTGTTCTCCACTAACTGCATGGTGAGCTGTATTTAGGGGTCTGAGCCAAGTGCCGGGGAGGGGAATGGACTATCCCTGCAAAGTAGGTGTCTGTGCTGGTACGAGGGCAGCAGCCGGAGCACTCAGCACTGGGAGGGGGAGTAATAGCAGCCCGGCTTTGACAGTAGCCTGTGCCTCTATCAGTTCATTTGTATCATAAAACTGCACTTCGAGAGACTTACCTCTTGGCTGGCAGGTTTTGCTCTTTCAACTCTCCAGTGCATGGTAGCCAGCATCACTTACACCTGTGCTTTCTCAGGTAGAAACTCCCCCTCTAGCTATGTTCCAAAAAACTAATTAGATGGTTGCCTTATTTGGAAGATCTTTCAGCTGTTCAGTTGTTTGGGTTTTTTTCCCCTTCTTTTCTGCTGTTAAGAGAAACAGGTTGTAATCTTTTTAGGTTCATGGAATATTTATGTCAGTCAAAGGCATCAGCCTTTGGGCATAAACCAGCCCACTAAACTGTATGGTAGGCAACATGGTTGCTGAGATGGGTAATTGCTGCAAATCTTGTTGAACAGTCATAGTAAAGGTTAAGCATCTGGAACATGTTAATTTTTAAAAAATTGATGTGTATCTTCCAGTATGGAAAGGAGGAGCACATCTGACAGTTGTGAGCTCATTTACTGAAGTTAGATTTTTGATTACAAAGAGGAAAAGGATAAAGTATCAGAATTATTTTATATTTTGCATTTTATCAATAATTGTCAGCAGTTTGCAAGAAATCAAGTAACTTACAGTTCAAAGATACTGCATTTGAAAGGATTACTGCAAATGTATGATACAGAAAAGAAACCCTGGACAGCAAAATGCACGTAAGCGAGGCCTTTATGTTGCTCATTCTTTCCATTTTTCTTTTTTTTCCCTTGGAAAAGGATGATTGCCTGTCAGTGCCAGACTGACTGCTGACGATAGCAACAACACTAACATGAGTTTCCATAAAGACATTCTTTCCCAATTGGGTATCCTGTGGTGATACTGCAAGTCATGCCAAAACGTTCCTGCACTGTCCCGTGATATATTTGCTTTTGTAGTGTTGGTCATTTATGGGGTTTTGTAAAGTCTTCCTGTAAACTATGTATTTTATTTTTATAGGGCAATGGTAGTATTTCTTCTTCAATATGAAAGCAAGTGTGTTACTTAAACAAAATAACAACCCATCTGCTCTCTTTCCAAATGCTCTGTGGTGGCTGACTCATGTGTCCATCTCTATAACCAGATTTGGTAGGAACTCTGTTAAATGTGCAAGTTAAGCACTCTTCCAGTGCTTCCACTTCTTCCACTGAAATGTTGGCAGTTTTGGAACTACTTCCAGGAAAATTTTTTTTTACAAAATACACTTATTTTTAAGTTTTCTGGGAAGCTCAAAAGTTAGATTGAGACTGTTTGTTCAGTTTCACGGAAGGAAGACCGTACATGCTTAAAAGTGAGAAAAACATTTTTGGTAAATAAATACATCTGTTAGACCTCTTACCTGTTGCTTTAGTCTCAAAATAAACAAGTAATTAGCAGAGGATTTAACTATCTGTTTTGAATACATTAGTGAGTACTTAAAAAACAAATCAAATTAAACATTGTTAAAGATTTCCTGGAAAACTGTCTCTAAAAGTAGAATGGAGTATTGCGAATTTGTTTGTACTGCTGATTTCAGAATATTTCAATACAGAAGTAAACAAAAAAATAACAATTCGAATGTACAGTTGTTTATATGTATAATATAATTTCTGTAAAGCCACAGCCTTTTAAATTTTTCTCTTGCACTTTTCCATGTGCAAGCTTGCATATTCTTTGATCTGCTGTAATGTTTAATAATTTTTCATATTCCTGCTAGTATGAAAGCTTTTTTTTTTGCCCCTTTGCAGACAACCTTTTCCATATTTGCATGATCTGATCTTGTTCATAATTAGCAGTTTTTACCTTTGAAAGATCCATTTCTTTTCCTTACATGATTTTATTACTAAGATTTCAGAATCTATAACCATATTATACAGAATGTTAAATTTCAATATATAATCTGTCACTGTTCAGTTCAAAGGATTTCTCATAGTTTGTTTCTTCTCACAACTAACTTCCTAGGAATTTTTCCTTCTACAAAAATTAGCTGTCTTGAATTCAACAAATAACAGTAATTTTGGTATGAATGGGATCCTTACCAATTTGGTAGTGTCTTCTGTGTTATTGCTTCTTAACAGACCTGCTAGATGGTTGGGTTTTTTTCTGTGTATAGCCCAATTTTAGGATTATTAAAATTTCTATATATAGTTTTTCCTCTGACATGCTATTATCTGAAATACCTTCATACTCAAAGCTTAAGATTTTTTTTTTCCAGCTTTTAAGGTTCACTTTTCAATTAAGAGAAATATATTCAAATAGTATTTCAAGTTACTTTTACAGTATTACTATTGAAGTCATAAAACATTCGGTGGAATACCCAGACAACATAATTCAACAGATATCAAAAATTAAGCTTCAGTTTTATTTGAGAGTAATGCCACTATTAATTTATTGACTCATTTACTTTTCATTGTCAGAATCTGAAGAAGATTCAAGAAATGGACAAAGAGGCAAGTGATGAATCCAGCACAGATCTTGATGACTTAAAAAATGCTGACTGGGTAAGACAACAACTGAATAGTAATTCAGCGTCATTACTAGTAGTTTATATTTCTTTATAATGCTTACCTAAAGTTGTTTGGTTCGTGTTAAAATCAGTATTTGTTGGGGTTTTTTTTTTAACATATGAATTATTAGTAACTCATGACAAGTTAGAACCAAATAGAGTCTCAACCTTCCTTTGCGGACAGATGAAACAATACAAGTATCCAAGCATTACATTTTTTCTTTATACTGTTCTCATGGAGAAGCTCTTGCAATTTAAAAAGACTGCATATTTAGATAGGTAGCATGCTGACTGCCCTTCAAAGGGACAGCCAGGCAGTAGGCAGAGCCACCATCTGAGCTTCTCCAATGGTGAAAGAAAAATACTACAGAGAAACTCTTAACAGAGGTAGCTTGTTTTATTTTCTAGTTACTATTTTTGTCAGCTCATAGAGGAATATTAAGAGGTTCTTAAAAGTATTTGATTTCAATCTCCCAATCTTCTGTCCACCACTTCTTCCTCCTCTCCAGCCACTCTTGCTGCCCAGAGGATGAGAGGGAGGTGTTGGTGTGTGGCGCTCTTACAGGCAGAGCAAAAGGAAGTTGAGTACAGAGAGGATATTGCTAGACCTTAGGATTTGGAGTCCATTCCAAAATTTCTATTTGAAGAACAACTGCTGGGACAATTTGCAAGCAAGTTCCGGGCCCAAGGGAAACAAAGTTTCAGATTCAATCACTGTTTTATTTCACACTGTATTAGCTATAATTCTATAAACTTTACTGTCGTGCTTGCAGTATACTTGACATGAAAATATAGATGTATGGTAAGAGAATTTCAAATCCTTTTTCTGTGTTATCTTGAAGATGAACATCACTTGAGACTCCACAGTCCTGTTGAGTTGCAGCAAAGTTTTGTTACGTTCATGAGGGTTAAAAGTAGGCTCATATAAAATAAAATGGGTTTTGGTTGATGTGCTAAAAATAAAATAGTACAGCTGTACATATTTGGTGGTGTCCTGAAAGGAGAATGAACAATTTTGGTTTAATCTGAGGTGGTATTCAAGGGTAAGGTATCAAATAAAATTTCTCTCTCTTTTCTCTTCAGGCTCGTTTTTGGGTACAAGTGATGCGAGATTTACGTAATGGTGTTAAACTTAAGAAAGTTCAAGAGCGTCAGTACAACCCACTCCCAATAGAATATCAGCTCACACCCTATGAAATGCTGATGGATGATATTAGATCCAAACGCTATACCTTAAGGAAGGTCATGGTAAGTCAAGAGAATCACTAGAATTTGTGAAATTTGAAATGTTCTTTTCCTTTTTTATCTTCTTTACTTTTTTTTTTTCTGGAGAACCTTGAAATTATGATTTAATGTAGATAGTAAGGTTCATGGCCTCTTAAATTTACATAGTACACCGAGGGGAAAAACATTAAACCAACAAATATTGTGTGTTTTGTTTTCCATATGGCAGGCATGTAAAATTCTGAAAGACATACCTACATATCTGTGCTTGAACAAATGACTTGTGTTGGTTTTATGATAACCTTAAGAGTCACATCAAAAGTCCTGTCACACTTTCCACTAAGAGATTGCTTTAGACTTTTCTTACTGAAGTTATTTTGAGTTACAACATAATTTCTGAAATTCCAGAATGTAAAATGCTACCGTGTTGTTATATGAGTGATAGATACTGTGATGGGAAAGGAAAACCTACAGTGGTTGAAAACTTATATTACCTACTATCTATATTACACTGTTTGACAACTTATGTTACCATGATCTGTTATGAATTTTCAAGGAATACTCTATGTAAAAAATTTTAAATCTTCAATTTGTACAAGTTGAGCTTAATTATTTTGAGCATATCCTATTGCTGCTTTCAATTCAAGACAATATGCCAAAGCAAGCTGGAGAGCGTTGATGGATCTAGTCCTCCTAGATACTCAAAAAGGCGCATGTAAGATTGACTTGAGGCACTCTTACCAGAACCCAATTGATACATAGTGGTGTCTCCTTGTTCTTTCTTTCCTTTTGGTTTATATTGTGTTCAACATTAAGATGTTCTTCCTGATAAGCTAGCAACTGCTCTAAAGGACTCCTTATCCTTAATAGGACATTTTAAATGCCTTTGTCAGAGGCATGTATTTGGTCACTGTCAACATTTATGCCTCATGCTTACTTATCTTTGCCTGTTGTTAGTTACAGTGGGAAGCATTCTCTTAGAATATTCAGTGTCCAAATGTATTTGCTTTCCTGACAAAATCTCACACAACCTTTGTTAGTGAGGAAGCCGTGATTCCACCAGAAAAATTCTGGTGGGGGCGGTATGAGAGAGATGGAAAGCGTGTAGTTTGTTCTATCAGAGATCATTATAAAAAAGAATAAAGGAGGAAAAAATTGGAACAACTACATGGGGAGCAAATAAATTAGTTCTGTTTCAAGTATAAATGACTTTTATGTATGAGCTGAAAGTACTTTCCTAATCAAGATCTGGTTTTAGACTATCAGATTGTATTTATTTTCTGCAGCAGATGTTGCTTAAATGTTAAATCAATAGGGTAAAATACATACCCAGGTAATGATGTTATCTGTCTTTCTGCTAACAATTCAGAGAACTGTGCTAAGTGTTCCTACTACCCACTGCAAAAGAGGAATAGTCCCCTCAGGACCTTGATTACTGTATGCAATCAGGATAGTAGTTTTGTTTGAATAGGAACCCCTGGGTCATCTAATTTTGCTTTGACTTGCCTTTAATTCATCTTCTGCTGAGCAAGCTCCTTCCTCTTCAGAAGAGATTTTCTTCATTATATGGTAGGTCTTGGAGGCGCAGCTGCTCCTCTGCTCATCCAGACTCTCTCTGTATATGAAATCCCTGCAAGCATTTATTTTTGTCTTGATACCTTGTCTACTAGGGATGTGGTCCAAAGTGACCTCTGGGCATAAACATCAATTGGGATTACAGTCAGCTGCAGGTACAGTACCTGTAGGGCTGACTGTGACGAAATTGCTGGTTTAGTCTGACAACTGTTAATGACGTGTTAGAAAAAGAACTTCTTCCTTATTAGAAATCTTAAATTCAGTAACTGGGGTTCTGCTGCAGAGTCTGCTTGAAGAATGTGCAAAGCTTGCACAGTACTGAGTACAGCTTGACATGAAATGTGTGGAGCCTAAAGGATTCGCATAGAATTAGAAGTTCAGTTAGGTTGCATAAATACAGCATCTTTTAGCTGACCGTCATGGATCAAAGCCGAATGTATATATTCCCATCAGAGAAAACTGCTGTGGTTCTTGAGAAAAGGACGAGAATTCTAAATCTGAACTTTAAGGCAGACCGGGAAAGATGGATTATGTTTCTTTCTATCAGTCGAAATGGACGCTTGGCGAAATTTTTATTGAAAGCAATTTTTGCTTTAAATTTATAGGTGGTATTTTTAGGCTTGGTAGCTTGTGAAAATGCATCTGCTACCAATGATAATGAAGTTAAGTAAATTTTTTAATTAAGTGAGATGCAATCTGAAGTCTTTACTGTTCTTCTTATTAATATAATGGTGTGTTTAAAAGAATAGCTTGATCTGTCCCTGACTGCTCAGTACACTGAGTAGAAATTAGGAAAGGAACAGATGTTCCTATTGGGTGCATGACATAGGAACTGTTCTGGTGTTTCAGACTATCAAAAGTGTTGAGTTAACAGATGCCAGTAACTGGAGCTGTCTGTTCTCACCTGTCTTCTCTCATAGTGCAAATATTCAATTGAAGATGTAAAATGTCAAACTCTGGGCTTTTTGTAAATAATTGGTTTCATTAGTTTCAGTGACATTGGCATTTCTATTTCAGTGTATATGAAAATAATTTTAAATTTGTCATCGCGCTATCCTGATGAAGGAATCCTTGTTTCTGTGGTTGTTGTGGGAACAAGATAACTTTCATTCTGGCATTTTATAATCCTTAAATGTCTACCTGGAGAGATGTAATAGCATTTTTCTCCTGTGGAGCACTCCCAAGCTGTTAAGAATTATGAACATTGGTAGAGTCAACACTTGGTAATGGGGAAATTCAAGAATTAAATTACTCCTACAGGCTTAATTTTTCTTTGTTACGCATATGTGTTAAGCTACAGTTTTTAATTCCACACTGATTCACAATTAACTGTCTTTCCTGCCCACCTCCCCTCTCCAAGATGGTCACCATTCACTATATTTCTTGAGCAGTGCTTATTGAACAGTAGCTAATAACTCTTATGTTACTTACTGACCTGATTCGGGCTGGAATAGAGCAATGCATGGCTGTAAGGTACCTCTTGTGTAGTATCCCAACTCAGCATTACATTGCATAACAGTTAAATTTTTCATAAATAATGGTGCTCTTGTGTTCATATTCAAGCTCATCACAAATACCTGTGATGCAATGGTATTATCTTGGCAATGTTGCGAAAGGGAAATTTTGGCATATAGGTTGAAGCTATTATCAAAAATATCCAGTAATTTGTGTGTCTAATCTGAGAATTCTGTGGCATGGTTGTTTGGGTATTTTTAACAAAACAAATATTTATTTCTTTACAGTATTTAGCATCTTACAGTACTGTCATTAAATTGCAATAACAGCTATGCACGGACAGTATTTTCATAAGCAGATTTCAGATGTTTCAAGCTGGACATAGAGAATGTGAGGAAAAGACTTTAACCAGTTTGTCCAGCTGGGCATTGTATAGGCTGTTATTCTCTTATGCACAGGTCTAACTTAGCTTTACTAAGTATTTAGCTGTTTTTAAGTGGGGAGCTATCCTTGTTCATTTTCTGCCTTTGTCACACGTTTCTGCAGAAGTTTAGGAGTCATCCTAAGTAAAGCAGTGGGCTTTACAGTTCCTAACCATGCTTTAGGGGTATCCAAAGAAGGAGTGACTCTGTGTAAGTGCTACAGTTATCATGTGGTATCATAAACTTGCATCTATAATAGACGTGCAGGAACAGCAGTGTGGATACAGTGGCTTATGATGTGAAGTACCGAAGCACTTCACTCTTGGACACTGCTGCTTGAGCTTGCTGTGTGCTGTCAAATGCACACTGTGTAAAACCTATGCTAACAAAAGCACTGTACTGTCTGCATACTGAAAGGTGGCAAATATTTATGTGCTTATCATGCTTTAATTCACAACAGAACTTTATCATGAGCTGTTCTGAAAATTATGTAGAATGCTTTGTTTCAGTGTCCATGCAATTTCATTTTAAATGAAAATTTCTAGATAGTACAAAACAATATCAGTTTCACGTTGCCTGTTATTTAGAAATAGTGCTTTCCTACTTAATGCTGTCACCTTTTACAGTGAGACAAATAAATGGCTGAGATAATTGAATGTCAATGATAAGTGATCTATTTTTTGCAAAAGTCATGTGCAAAGTACTTATTGTCAGGGATTACCATTTTTAAAGCTGAGGCTTCAGCCAAAGGTTACTAAGTACCATTTGCAGTTATTTTTTAACTGCAAATCCATATTTATATATGAAAATGTGATGGTAGCAGGTTGTGAGTAAGTAGATGATTAAATGGTAATTTTTCTGTGCGTTAGCTGTTTAGATCTCTAAATTTCTGGTTGAGTTTTCTAATTAGTTATGCTTTCCCCCACTGTCAGTTTTAATGCATACTGCTGAACAAAAGCAGTTTTACACACATGAACACTAAGGATAGTTTTACAGTGTTTAGAAGTATTTATTTAAATACTAGTTTGCAGTTAGGGCCAATCTGGTATGTGAAAAAAAAAAAAAATGTTAATTGTGATTTTTTTTTCTACCTGCATGTATCGTGGCTGCAGCTGTGCAAGATATCTCTGATTTAGACTTCAATCAGGAGCCATGAATTTCAAATAGAAGTAAAAGATGCATGTGAAATTGCTCGTTACAGAGAGAGTTAGTTTGAGTAAAGGAATAGATCTAGTGCGGACAGAGAGGCTAAAAGCTTCCCTTCAGTGTCTTTCATCTCAGTATCTTGTTTGGGCGCCGAGTACGAGAAGGGAGGTTGTGCCACCAGCACTCCTGCTCTTGCTTGTTGGCTGCAAAACATCCACTTGCTTTGCCACCAGCTCCCTGTGTATCCTGTGGAAAATCACTTAGGCAAATCTTAGGGTTCTCCTTTTCCAATCAAATGGGAATACTGATACTAATTATACCCTGGTGGTATTGTCAAGGCGTAAAGTGCTCTGAGGTGAAAGGCTCAGAGCCATGTATTATTTATTTCCTATTGTCATGCAGAAGGTTGTTCCCCAAGGCTGGAACAGAGATTATCAGTTTACAAAATGGCTGTTCTGATGGTGATAACTCTCAACTTCAGCTATCAACTTTGACATCTGATGAACAGTAACTTGGGGAACAGAGACTTCTCATTTCATTAACAATCCTGCAAAGCATGCTGGCCTCAAAAAATTGCTCAGTCTTTAAACAGAAGTAGTCAATCACACTACTTAAAATAATATTCTCATCATCATAAAATGTCAAATCACCGTTTAAAATAAACCTTTTCAATTTTAATTTTTCTGCACTATTTTTAGGAAGGTGATGTATCTCGCAGAGTTTAGCAGCTTGGTATTCTCTGCCAAGCTATATGAAATTCACTCTGAGGAAGCTAAGGGGGTGGGTTGGGGAAACAAATAGAATTTAGACCATGTCTGGGGTAGGATACCTCCAGAAAGAGTACCCAGGAAAGCAATGAAGTGTTTTCTAGGAGGGGCTCTGCATCCACTTCCTTATCAGGGAAGGGATGAATCTTCTCTGGGAGGCTGTTGCTCTGCCTCAGCCTGGGAACATGGCATGTCTGAGGTGAGCAGAGCTTACTCAGAAGCTGCATGGCATTAGTGAAGTTCAATTAGGGATCATATTCAGGTGATCTTATGGGCATTTAAACCCATTTTTCTGACTGCAGCATTCCTTCTGGTTAGCAAAAGTGCATGTGATTTGACAAACCAGAGCTGTGTCTTTATTTTCTGGCTACAGAGCCTATATGAATAGAGCCTCCCAAAGAAAAATGAGCCAACTGACCCTTAAAAAAGAAAAAGGTGCTGAAATCTGGGACACTTGGTCTAAGAAATATAGTATCAGAGGAATTCTTGTCAAATTGGAAGACAGGGCTGATAGCCACCTACTGTGTGGTAACAGAAGGTATCAGGAGGATGTATGGCATAAGATGTTCTCTCATTCCTGACTGTGTGCTTGGGCACTGTGCTGTATAAAGACTGAACCTGAGGTGGATTTTTTTAAGCAAACCCAGACACTTACTCCCATCTTACAATTCATAAATTCTTCATATGATAGCAAAACTCCCATTGCCTTCTTTTATATCCAGTACATAAAGTGAATTACTGACTCTTTCCTGAGATGTCTTTTATATGGTTTTATGTCTAAATGAGATATCAGAGATAGTAATGTCTGTCTCTTTGGAGAAAACACAAACAAGCAAACAACCCTCACCCAGCCCTTCTTCTACAGAAATCTGTGATTTACTTTGAGGAAACTCACTTCCTCTACTTCCAGTGGCCTGCCATGGCATTCTAGTGATTCACTTTCTAGACATATTAACAAACTTCATTTTACACTTGAGTAATCTTTAAAGTGCAGGTGAAGAGGTAGCTGTGAAATCATGTTCAGGGCTTCCCTCTCCTTCTGCTGGCACCTCTGCATGGCCAGAGCAGCAGAGATAAAAAAACAAGGAGAACATGTTTTTCATCCAATGCTACAAGCAAGTCATTGGTGATTGTGCCAGATTTATCTCTGCTTTCACATCAGTGCTTGGGAGTTGGTAAGGAGATCCAGAAAACTGCGGCCTTAAAGAGCATCCATGTTCTCTCAGAGGCTAAGAATGGGGTATTAGAGACTGTGTAATGGTTCAAACAGTTGTTCTCAAAAATGGTGTTGGCAACTTTTCCTCCACGCAAGATACTTTCTTCGTCTGCGTTCTCCCATAGACACAACTGCAGCCTTGACGTTTGATTTCATCATTTCAAAATCCCAAGTATTGCTGATTAAAGCTGCTGCAGTTGTGGTTATTGTGCAGCTGTCTGCAAAGCTGAAAAGCTGTTACCGACGTTTTTGCTTGCCTGTGCTCTGCATATGGATTATTGCCCTGCTCAGGACTGGTGGGGGTTTACATCTGCTGCAGGTGTCAGAACAGTGCAAGCTCTGTCAGGGTTGTTGTGAGTTTTCAGCTGATCTCATCATCTGCTTGAATATGAATGCAAAACCCGGAAATATGTATTTTACTTTCTCCTTTTCAGGTCAACGGTGACATTCCACCACGATTAAAAAAGAGTGCCCATGAAATAATCCTGGATTTCATCCGATCGCGACCTCCATTAAATCCTGTATGTAATCCAGTGGGCTTCATTCCTAACAAAAATGTGGATCTTTAAAGCATGTTTGTGTCCAGGGAATAGGTTAAGTATTATGTTTTCTGACATGTGCTTTCAAAAATACTGTCTTCCATATATAGAACGTGATCTCTTAAAAGAACAGTGTGTAATATCTTGCACCTACCAATTGATAGCTGTTATTGCCAGCAGCCTTTTATCTCTGGGAAATCATGATGAATTGGGGAAAACTAAAAACTTATTTCCAATTTATGTGAGTTTTATAAATGAGTGCATGTAAAATCATATCACAACATTCCACATTTTTTTACAAAAAACTGTGAAATCTACTTTCAAGGGAGCACTGTTTTATGTAAATATGACTATCTTTATATCCCGAGGCGTCGGCAAGAAAACTGAAACCAACCCCACCACGGCCACGCAGCCTTCATGAAAGAATACTGGAGGAAATCAAGGCAGAGAGAAAGTTACGTCCAGTCTCACCCGATGAGATAAGGCGTAGCAGGCTGGGTAAGCACACTGCTCATTTTAACCTGCAGCATCCACAGAAAACTTCCCACACAAGAAGCAGCAATATTAGCAGTGTCTGTGCAGATGTCATGGAAAACAAAATTATTCTCATCCCTTCAGAAAAAGAAAGAACCTACAGGCTTTGCCAGGGCTATACAATCTTTGTGCTAAGTTATATTTAAAAACAAGATACTGTGTGGTTCAGTTTGATTCCCTTCAAGTTTTTCATGTAAGTATTAAGATAAATGTAATGACATTATATTGCTTGTTGCACGTGACAGTTAATACTAGATTTGCTCAGAATGGAATGGGTATTGCTTCGCCCCAGTGCAATATTCCTTACATATCTGCAAGTATTTTTTATATGTTTGTTTTTAATTAATTTTATTCTCTTTGTTTCCTGTTGTTAGCATCATCAGTTTCCTTATTTTAATTTTAAATCTGCCTTTATTTTGTTTGCTGAATCTATTGCTTTTATTTTGAATCTCAGTCTTTGCATTGTTTTCTAAGTTTTGGAACGTGTGTTTGTATATATTTTCAGTGAGCAAATAATTCAGACTTGCACGGCAAAGCATTTAATTTCTGCAGTGTATATTCAACAACCCACTGTGAAATTATACAAATACTGTGCTTTCCAACTATCACCAATTTGCATTAGTTCAATGGTTCTGATGACAGAAGCATGACAAATATAGTCTTACATTATGACTTGCATTTCTTTAAGAGCACAGTATTTATCTGTATCAGAAAAACTGAGCTAGCTGGATTTTTGAAGAGCAAAAGGGGCATCTTGTGGCTGAAAAGCATGAAATAATCCACCTACGTACTCCCTGTCACTGCTTTTTGCAAAATATTTGTACTTGCCACATGTGCTTAAAGGCACTGGTCCAGATTCAAGTGGTTGTGACAACCCATTGTCTTTGGAGAAAAACAATTTCATCAGTCTTGCTTTGTTGCAGTGTTTTTGAAGTGCTCGGTAGAGTTTGGTGAATGCTTGGGTGCATTTTTAAAAGCATGATGTTTTGTATATTGTTTCTTTGGGCCTTACAGTTTCTGGTTTGAGTTCGTTTATGCTTGCTGTATCAATTAATATTTCTAATAGGCCCAGATTGTTTTTCCTAATATAGGAAGCTTGTGAAAACATGAAACGATCCCTTAGTTTTCTTTCAAACATTCAATTTCAGTATTTTAAATGTCCTCCGTCTGGGAACTATCATGTCTTCTCAGGGGCAGCAAATTTGATATAATAGATCTTTAAAATTTCTAATCAATATCAATGACATCAAACCCATTTAGTAAACAGTTTCTAAACGCAATGTTAAATTTTGAAGTATTACTGATTAGGTCTTCCTGGGCTGATTTAAGGGCATAGACTCCAATGAGGGTTACCTGTCTTCCATCAATTCTCCATTTTTTGTTAAAGAATTAAATTTTTGAGTTTTGGAACTGTGGTGATTCCCCTTCAGTCCAATGAATTGTTTGGATTAAATGCCACATTAAAAGGTGGAGGTGTAAAAGGGTATGCATGCAAGTTTTATTTTCCAAGTGTTTATTTGCTGCTGGTGTGAAGAATTAAAAAGAGCAAAGACCTTGAAGATTTTTTCTTATGTTGAAATATGAGGTGTTGTTCTTTCTCAAATTGAAATTATTGTTATGTCCAAAGTTCCTTTTAGAATAAAATGTGTTTGTGCAGAATTGGGAATGGAATAATGCTAATGACATTGAGTATTGTACAAATAGATACGCCATATAGTTTAGATGACCACTGAATGTAATTTAGTGTAACAGTATGTAAGGTAATGAGGTTTAAGGATTACAAATCTAAGTAGAAACACCATGATGGACACTTGCACCATCTGGACAGAAATATTTGTTGCTATTAAAAAGAAGGGGGGAAAAAAGAGTGTTAGAGTGAAATATTTGGGAGTATAAGGTATGATGCACATGTCCCAGGGTTATTCCTTGTTGCTCCATTTATAGCAGTCGAGTGCACACCTACACCTGACTGTTGGGCTGAGGGAGGCTGTACTCTTGCAGTTCCTCCTTGGTGAAATGGGTGGTCCTATGGCATGTGTTTCCTAGCAGCCACGGGCTTTGTCCCTCAGCTCTGCACAACACGTGCACACAGGTCAGATCTTCCCTACCCTGAGCTGCCACTGAGGAGGGCAGCCTGTGGCTGGCCGCTCTCAATCTAAAACTTCTTTGGAACCATTAATTTAATCTTGGTAGCAGTTCTCACAAAGGGAGAGGTTTGAGCAGAAGCATTGGAGTGAGCTTTCAAATGACCTCATAAAATCGCCAGAGAGAGCTATTGGGACAAATACAGCCTTGAGGTACAGGTCCTTTTAATTAAGAGCATGGGTTTGTGACTCAGGCAAGTTGAGCTAATGTAGGTTGGAGAAAACTTTGTTTCATCTACATGTTTTATCAACCTTCAGTTAGGAGCCAGCATTAGGTGATAAACACTCTTATGCTTTAAAATATATTTGCCTTTATGCTATGTTTGGACAGGGATTTAGATACTGTTTCTGTGGCTGTTAATCTGTAGCTGATGTCCTCTAGGTAATGAACTACCCGAAAAATACCCTGACTCCCAAATTTGTCTCTAAGTCAGCCACGTACTGCCTTCACCACATAGATTTATTCTCATGAGCAAAACTCGTTCCAGCACAACCTTTTTTTAAACATCTTTTAAATGCAGTGGTATGTGTGGCTGACAGGCCCTTTAATACCAACTTGCATGTTTATCATCTGTCAAGTAAGACAGATAAGCTGATGTCAGTTTTGATGTGTTCTTGTACATTCTTGTCACTGGGCTTGGCCTGCTTATTTGGATTAGTGCATTGAAAGTTTTTACTTGGATGAGAAATATTTTGAGTATCTGCTCCCTTCAATTACACTTTTTAATTGGAAACATAGATAGGTCTTTCCAGAAATAAAGAACATCTGACCATTTTCTTGTGTAGGAATAAAATGGCTAGAGGCCCAAAATGAAGAGGTTAATATTTTAAAGGCTAAGTCCACTGAAGGTTTTTAAAAATAACAAGAATCAGCACAAATCACACTGTGTTTGGCCTTTTTTTCCATCCTTTTCAAGGAAACTACTGCTCAAGTTTAGCTTGAGTGTCTCTCTTTATTAGTTTAATTATAATCATTGGAGATTATGCGTAAAAAAATCAGAAATATCTTTATTTCAGGTCACTGAAACTTGTGTGAAATGTGGCTTTGTACTTCCAATTTTTTTCAGCTCTTTTGCTCCTCTCTCTCTCTCTCTTTTCCTTCACCCCTTTCTCTCTTTCATGGCATTTTAATTGAAAATACTCTGTTTTTAAGATACTTGCTTCTTGTTTCAGTATTTGATTTATTGAATTCCAAAAATCTCATTCTAGAACTATACAAATATAATTGCTGTGTTTGCAAGTCCCATTTATGCTACTGTAGTTTTCAGACTTTGAGCTTTACTACAGTAAAGCAATAGTATGTCTGACACATTTTGGATTTAAGCAGCAGAATCCAAAATGTCTCAAGTGGAGTTAATCTTTTGTTTTCATTACTCTGCTTTTCTAATAGCTGAATCGTTTTCTTTTTGTTGTTTTTGTTTCTTTTTTACAGCAATGCGGCCTCTTAGCATGTCTTACAGTTTTGACTTGTCAGGTAAAAGGTGCAACAACACCTGACGTGGTTATTGTGCTTATTGTGAAATTTGTTCCATGTGTTTGTTGAATTACCATTTAAGAAAGAAACTTGAAGGGATTCTTCCAAGATATGGTCAGTGAAAATAAAAAGTAAGATAAATTACTTATTAATACCTACATTTCCTTTGCTACAAAAGGATGCCTAGGTATAGGAAACAACTGTATTTCACCTGAAATAGAGTGCTGGAATTCTGTTTAAATAAATAGTCAAAATAAGGTGGCCCAGAGCTATTCCAAACTCTGAAAAGGACTGAGAATACAGTGTCACCTTCAAGTCTGATTTACTTATTTATTGATCTGACCTTTGTGTCTTCACACTCACTTTTTGACTGCACCATTTTTTGCAATACTTAATTTCTCATGAGGATCCAAAAACTAGTTATAAACTCACCTACCTTTCTAGATTTAATGAAATATTCCTATGAATACTAATCTAGAAAGGAACTGTCTGCTCTACTGAGTGTCTTTACAGTAAGTGCTTTGTGAGTCGTGAAATCAAAGACATTCACTCAAAAGAGGCTAAACCTTCCTTCTTTACTGGTTAGCAAAATAATTTGCTAAGGTTTGCTGGTAGCAGCTGATACAGAGGATTCAATAGCTGATCTTTCATCAACTATCTAATACCAAATTTAAAGTCTCCTCTTGGTGGGCCATTAGTTAGGACATGCAGTAATGGTATGAACATCCTCTGCTTCAGAGGCAGCAACATCAAAGAGAGTTTGTACCTACTAGCCAGAAAATAAATTCATTCCTACCTCATTGCACACTAAATTTCCAGGATGCTCAGGCCCAACCTATCATTGAAGTTGAGAATATTCTACATTATCCTCAAAGGTTTGTCCCCTGAGGAGAGCTCTTATGCTAGCTCTTCCTAATTTCCCCTAGGTGACTCTGGAGGAAAACAATTTCCAAGTAAATCCATGCTCTCATTTTGTGAAGAAGCAACAGCAGCTGTACAGTCCCCCCTTCCTTCCAGTTTCATGTAGGAACATCTCATCTGGGACTTTTGCAGAGTTTTCATCCTTTGTTTCTCCATATACTCTTTAACCTCATGTGGTTTCCCCATAGAAAGGCATAATCTGACTGAAATACTAGCATATTGTGAACTAGAAAGACCATACAGAAGTTTTTTGATTGCCATAATATAAAAAATAGAGTAATTTTTTAATGTGAGAGCAAAGGTCACAGGTGACCTATCTGTGACTGTGGCTTCATGTTCTGGCTGAGCCAAGTAGACAACTTGCTGCTGTCAGGAGGCGAGGAGGGGCTCTTGCTGCTCCCTCTCTTCCCCATGCTCCCCTCTAAGCATATAGTTCCCCCTCCTCCTCTGTGCCAGTCCTTCTCACTTACTCATCATAAGATGATCTGGTTAAACTCAAGTAACCCAGAAACAATACCTTTTCTTTTTTTACCGGCTTGGTTTTCTGCTCTTTTAGTGATTTAAACCTGCTTACTATCTGATCAGATGATCAGAGAGCTGGCTGAGGGCAGGTGATGAGCATGGGTGGGTGGGCAGAAGGAACAGGCTCTCCCCGTCGGAGGTGGTGGCAAGCTGTTAATCCAGCTCAAGCCCTTTTGTGAAACCTTACGCTCGTGGTGTATTGTACAGCTACTACAGCTGTCTGGTGGGATTCAAATTATATCTGTACTTGGTATCGTGTTTTGCTCCACTGAAAGCTGAAGGGTCCATGGGGGTTCAGATAATAGCATAAACAGGCAAACTTCAGTTTTCAGAAAGTATTGCTACTTTCAGATATGCCAAAAGTTCCTTCAGTTTTAAGACTATAAAACTGAATGTGCCAGTGACCAACAAAAGGGAAATGTTCAGATCTGTCCTACATGTGTCTGTGTGGTTTTCTTTTGCCTTTTATTTCTGAGAATACTGCGACACCCTCATTTGTTTAAATCCAAACAATATTTTGTAAAAGCTCCCTTCATAATCCATTAATTCATTACCATAATGTTTTTATTTTTAAGAAGCAACTTCATAGCAATCTGTACTGTACTTGGATTTGCTCTTTTTGACTGACCACCGAAGAACTCTTCCTGTTTTCTTTATCCATCTTCCAAATGTGATTGGCTTTGTTTTTTCAAGTCATATGGTGCTCAGCAAGAAGTATCATATGGGATGACTGAGTGATCTGATAAACTGTCTTTAGTAGTAAACTCAGGATGATTAAAACATTCCAGTTAGGTAGATGTGAGACACCATATGAGAAGTACAAATGAATTAAATGGGTTGGGATGTCGATAGTAAGTAGGTAAGCAGTAGTTTTGAATGTTGTTTCTTTGTGTGCTTTTACTTTTTTTCATTATTTTGGAGGTGGGGAAGCTATACTGTGCTTTCATCCCTGTTTCCACATACTTGCTTTTTCACTGCTTTCATTGCTCTCTGCTTGATGGAATTGCTGTCATGAAAAAACACGAACCAGCTGAAAAACAGAAGCGTTGCCTACTAAGTGCTAAAGGACAGATGCAGGCTTTTATTATACTTGCTGTCTGTGACTGGGATGATGCACACCAATTCTGAGAAAACTGTTTTTCTGGCATCGAGCCAGTGTAGTTGGTGTGTCCCACTGCCCGGCTCCACGCATCTGCCTGCTGTTATCCTGAAGAGGAGAGGGAGGGGCGCCTGGGACCTCTTTTTACACTGCTGTTTCCTACTGGTAGAATAGAAGGAGCAAGCAGTAGCCACCTGTAATGAGAGTAACCTAAGAGGTACTCATATGGATCAACTAGGGAGCAGGGCAGTCATTACCCACTTCCTCTAATAGAAAAATAGCTTAAAAGCAGCTTAATTTCGATGCGCTGTGTTGAATGCAGCTGAAAAGATGACTTGTTCCTACTCACAAATTCTTACCTCAAAGCTGTATGCAGGGCTGCTTAGAAGTTGTTACTTCAAAAACAGTCTGTACATTTTGGAGGCGGTGGGTGGGGGTGCAGGGAGAGAAGAAAAAGGAAACCAAAACATTTAAACACAAATTTCATGGGGATTATTCCTGTTGTTCCCAACCCTGTGAGGTGATGTGTATCACTGTTGGCTTTACATGATCTGTGCCTCAGACCAGTGTGAGGAAGGAACTCCACCAGGTCCTGGTAATCTCTTAATTTAAATAACAGAATAATAAATGTGATGCAGACACCAGCAAATGACTGGCAGTTTGGTATACTGATTTAGTAGTTCTCAGGTTTGACATCAACGTCTTCAATGGACTCATTGAAAGGAACAGCACATCTTTGTTACCATTTTATTGGTTCCTTGTTCCTTGGTTCATTATGTAATCTTTCCCAGTATATTATCATCATCATAACTAGCAAAAAGTAAACTTCTATTAATTCTGGAAATCCATTTTATCCTTCTTTTAAACTCAGTGTAAAGGTAAGGTTGAGGAGCATATTTGCTGTACAGAACAAAATTCAGGTTTCTGTTGTCATTATTTGCCAAGGAGAGCTGGTTAGGAGGCAGACAGCATATGGTTACATGACTGCTGTGGTTTGCATGTAATCTGTGGTCTGCTTAATTCCTTGTTTCATAAGAGACATAATCTTTCATGTAAATAAAGGCGCATTTCATATTATCCTAGGGTGGGTTTTTTTTGTCTCCCCCTTCTTAAGGCTAGTCAGGGAAGGTCAACACAAAGATCAAGTAACCAAATCAAGACCTCCTATTCTTTCATTTGCCTGCTGTAATGATAGCTTAGGAGTAACTCAAAAGAAACCAAACATATTAATCCAATTTATAGGTACTGTTCATTGTACTAGCTGCCTGAAAACAGAGAAATGACACTCTCCCAATGTGTCTTGACTCTCTAATAAAATCTTAACCCTAGGCTGTTACTCACATAAGGCTTTTTTTAATATAATTTGAATCATCTTCAGAACATTTAGATACTCTGTTAAACTAGACAGTGTGATCTACTATCCATTTTAAAAAAATACTATTTTTTAGGTTTTTGTTTCAAAGAATTGTCCAATAATTTCTTTTGTTATATTCATTTTTATGAGCATTAGCCTATTGGTTGTTTCTGACTTGTTTATCCTGATTAATTTTATCTTGTTTACGATGATGTATGGTTATTTGCCACCTGGTAATGTTTCTGTTGCCTGAGTACATCACTAAAATATCTTACACAAAGTAATAATTTTTTGGTCTGTGTCTGCTAACAAATTCTGGTTTTAATTTTGGAACAAGTTATTTTTGTTGAAATCTGTTTGCTGAAACTATAAGATTTCATGTTCGTTTCTTTAAATTATGATAATCCATTTATCCATGTATGTCCAGTACTGTAAGTGCAGGAATGATAAACTAAATTTGACCACTATTGTCAAAACGGATTTTATAAATTGGATGTTTTTCTAATTTTATTTTTTTGTTGTTTATTTATTTATTTTATTATTCTTTAGTGTTGGCAAGTTGTAAAAAACCCCTGGTTTTTTTTTTTTTCTTTAGATGAAAGAATGGTGATAAATGACATTTCCTACTGAAGAGCCCTTCAAAACAAATACTATGTTGGGTTATCTTCTCAATTTACCTAAAACTTCTCTGGTATTTCAATAAGACTTATAAACCAACATATGAACAACTCAACAATATATATGAATAACTCATACACGTGGGAATTTAAGTAACAACTGACTTGGGCTTTGTAGGTAGTGATTGGCTACATAAGTTACCTCCAAAATGTATCAGAAGTTTCCATGTTGGGGGCCTAAAGAAATCAGGCCTAAATTCTTTGGAAAAACACAACAAAACAACAGAAAAACACCCCAACCAACCAACCAACAACAATAAAAAACCAAACCAAAACAAAAACCCAACAGAAATTTTACACCATACCCTGGCTATCCCTTCCACCTCCCATAGTGCTCGGGGATGTCTGGTGGATGTTCTCTCCTCTTTCCCCAGACCTATTGTGTGTTTTATTTTTTTGGAAGGAGGGCAGTACTTTTGGCCTTCCCATCGTTTATTCTCCCAGTGAGTCCAACAGCACTTACAGGCCATTCTTCACCCTCCCTGCCATGAGGCAGGGGAGTCACCACCCAGGAAATTTTGGGGAGAAGGAACACCACCTTTGGCTGTTGTGTTGGTGGTGCCGGGGCTGCTTTGCTGGACGGCCTGCTCAGGAACCGCCCTGCGCAATCAAAAGACAAATCAAAGGTTTTTCTCTTGCTCATTTGGGAAACCCTGAGCTTCCTCAATCAGCTGCCTGCCAGCTAATTATGAGGTCTCAAGAAATGGTATTGGCAGCAGGGAGGTGAGGCAGTTTGGGTTTTGTTTTCTTGCTGTCGCTTTCTGGGGATTGGGTTGAGAGGCTGTTAGAGCAGGAATGCATTTGATGTGGAGGACGCCCATGCTGTACTCACAGAAATCTAGGAGAAAAAAAAATGACCATGGTGCTAGTCAGGACACCCATTAGCAAAGCCTTTGAAGATAGGAACTAAGGGTTAGAGAGTCTAAGTCTTTGATTGCAACTCTTTGTAGGGAGGACCTGAAGGCAGTAATAACACTGTAGTACACAGATTCATAGGCTTGGAATGTCACCATGACTTTAATAGTCCAAATGATCTCCTTTTCTTATACTCCAGTTGAAGGTATGATTTCTAGAGGAACTTTAATACATCCCCTGTCCTTTCAGTTTCCAGCATTTAATGATAACCTAATTAATTCTTTAAAATATATATCAATTTAACTTACTCCTTTTCTTATTCCTCTTCAATAGCTGCTCCAGTGAGAATGTTGTAAAAGAGACCTATTACTGCAACTGAGGCTTTGTCTAGACTGTAGAGTTTTAATTTACCTAGTGCAAGAATGGCTTTTATCCATGCAAATTGTGTTGTAGCAGCAGTGACCAAGTCTGTTTATACCAGGGCAACTACGTAACTCCAATTGCTGTGTGAGTACTTACATTGTTGGCACTGGGAGTATCCGGGTGATATAATTTCTCTGTCACAGTCCTCTCGGTAACCTAAAGTACAAGTCATTTGACCTTCTGTGCCTCTTTTCACCATGTATAAAAATGGGAATAATTACTCGTCATTACCCTAGCCTTGAAATACCTGAAGGTACTTTGTTATTACAAGACTGGAGGAGTCCTATAATTACATGGGTAGAAAAACACATTTGTAGAAAGACCAGATGCTTAGGCATACATGCAAATGGGCGATTAAGAGCTTCTCTTCCTTCTCCCTCCGATATAGTTTTCTTCAGGTTGTAATGCAGCACTTTGTACTTTTACAGGGATAAAACTGATTTATCAGACCAAACTCTAAGATCTCCTAAAATATCAAAGCCTAGGTCATTATCGTAATGTCTAAGCTAAGCTAGGCTAAGCACAGCAGACCCAATGCTTACGCTATCTGAGATGCATCTTCACTGCACGCTGGCAGAAATCCCAAGTAATTTACTCAGTGGCGTTACATCCTTGTAAAACTCATGTAGATGAAAATAGAGCTGGATCCCAGTGTTTCTTCTGTAACATGAAGATTTGACATCACAGACATATTTTTAATACAAATGACCCTGCAAGCCTAAGAATTGTGCATATTTTTGATGAATGCTAGTTATTTAGTTATCATTTTGATTACTTTTCTGTGTACTGCAGAATAAAGTGTAATTCTGTCCTCACAGGAAAAACTAGGTTTACTCTATGCTAAACCTCCTAATTTTTGTGTAGCGTTGTCTTCAGATTCACTGAAAACCAACTTGTCCAGATACGGTTATGCATTCTCCTGATACTTGTTATATAGTTAATGATAGACTCTCAGTTGAAGGGAGAATATTTTGGGGCTTAACACAGGATTATTTTTTTTTTAAAGTTGATTGGTGTTAGTCTGAGGTTGATTGAGTATTGTGCACTGCTGCTTTTTTCACTGCTTTCATTCTTTCATACTGCTTCTGTACCACAAGCCATTGCTTGTAGTTCTCTGAGCAATGTATTGCTCAAGTAAAATAATTGCACACATATAACTATCACAATATTTTTTTTTTCCTTTTGTGTGTATTGCCTTGACAGTAAGATTTGAGAAGGCAAAATAAAAGTTAGGTCCAAACACCAACTGTTCTGTTTCTTTTGCTAGATGTATCTACGCCGGAGGCCGGAAGGAAATTAGTGGATGCCTCTGTAGTGAACGGTGGCCTGGCACCACAAGGAAAGCAGAATGGGGCCACACAAGTGACAATACAACGCAAGAGACTCCTTAAGGCTCCCACATTGGCTGAACTTGACAGCTCAGATTCGGAGGTAAAAAATCAGGACACAACTTGCTTCTTGATTTGTCAGAATTAAGTCTTATTTCTTAACTGTCTGAACTGATCAGCTGAGAAGTAACTTGGCAGATTATCATCTGAATTCTTCATGACTGCTTTGTCAGCCCACAGAACTTAAAAAATATTAAATCAGACCTCAAAAATGAGAATATTATTTTTAAAGATTAAATGCTAATTTTGGCCTTAAACCTAGTATTTACCTGTTTTTCTAGATGTCCAGTATCTGTCCACAGTGTATAGGTGGCAATTATGCTTTTGGGAATACAGGCAAATGTGTTGCACCCTTCTGGCACCCATGCAGGAGCTGTCACTAAAGGACTCAGATGTGAGGCCAGCCTGACCATACCAGCTGTTAAATGAAGAGCATCAGCTGTGCTGGTGGGGTTGCAGTTTGGTGCAAAAGTCAATGTGTTTGTTTGCTAGATAGGCTTAGGAAGTAACACCCAACAAATACTTCACAGATAGGAACAAGCAAATACCACTTAGATGAAGAAACAACTTTGAATCCATCCTCTCTCAAGTGGAGAGTTAAAGTTTTTTAAAAGCATAAAAAGGAGAAAATCTTAAAAAAGCTCTCTAGTTTAAAAGCTGAATTATATATGATCCTCAGGAAGTACCAACGTTACCTCCTCAAGAATGAGCTTTGTCTTCTGGACATTATTAATTGATTTTGGCCCTCTCTGAACGTTAAGCTGTCTGGAAAACACATGCAGGCAGGGTTTATTCACAGAGGCTAATTCTAGCCTGGGGAAGGCAGTCTTCCCTGACTCTCTTTCTCTATAGTAACTGGGGAAGGAGAGGTTTCCTGACAGGGCACTTACAAAGGCATCTAAGCTGGAAGATAGGAGGCTGGAGAGAAATATATGTGGGGAGAAATCTATTTCTTCACATACTTTCTTTATCTCTGAAAGTTTGACCCTCTTTGTATTAGGGTCTATCTTGTGGGTGACTTATGTGGGTGCATATTTGGTGCATTTACTGTGAAATCAGAAGAGATTTGCATTCTGAAATCTCTCAGCAGTCTTTAAAATTACAATAGAGGCTATATGAGGTTTTGTTAGTATGAATGATGCTGTGCAGGATGCAGGAATATTAAGACCTGTCAATGAGAGTTGGATCTTGAACTTACAGCTTCCCAGCTTGTAGCTCCATGCATCCTGAAGCTAAGGCAGCACGATATTTCACATGGAAAAATAAGCAAAAGTCAGTAAAAGAAAATTCCGTAAAGGGAAACATGAAGTGATTCTTGTAGGAGGGAAGAATAAGATATCTGACTGTGACTATTGATATATTGAATACTGTATAGGCAAGCAAAGTCACATAGGATAAGATCTGGAACATACAGCAAAAGAGAAATTGAAAATAAATCAGCCACACTGAGCTGTCACAGAGAACAGATGCTGTGCTGGTTTGAGTCAACAGAAATAGCTGGTGGAGCAATTAAGACGATTAAGATGCTCAACGGAATACTGGTTGGGGCTCAGGAACAGTGCTGAAATATGGTAAATAAACAAACTGAAGGGAGTTTGGGTGAAATTTTCTGAGCCAATGGAGGGAGTGCGACAGAACATTTGAAGAAGGTGAAGATTGCTCTGTCAAAATGTCTTATTTCTTTCCTGTCTTACTTTGGAGGTAAAACAGAAGAACGTGTTGTCCCGATTGCCTGTAAATGACTTGACCACCTCTTTGCCTGCAATCTGAATTGGGCTTAGCCTATTTAGAGTTACTCAATGGGAGTTAAAGTATGACTGTGTTATGCCCTAAATTACAGACTACAAATATCTGCACTGCTGAGCTGTGGACCTCCAAATGAGCTATGATGCAGATGCATTTTCTTCCCCCTATATCCCTTTTGTTCTTCTTTCAGCTGTGTTGTGATGCAGACTACACCCCAACATTCAGTTTTGTCAGCCGGAGGTGAAAAGGAAGGTCTGATACAGCCCTGTGCCCATTTGCTGGCAATGATGAATATTGTGCGAACCGTTTCTGCTTTCTGTCCTTGCTTTTTTCTGCATCGGCACTAGACTCACAGTTTCAGAGGGGAAGCAGGAAGTGCCATTTTGCTTTGTGTGGCTAAGAGAAGTAGCAACATAATAATGATTTTTGATACAGATATAAAAATGGTATCTTCCTAATGAAGCTACAGCTGTCTGGACAAAAGTCAAGCCAGTAGCATATTCAGACGTTTTAAGGTGATGCCTTTAAAGCTGCAGCTTTCTCAGTACTTGTAGAATTCTAATTGTTAAGCACTCTGTAGAGAAGCACGCAGTCCCAGATATTGGATTGATCCAACCTGAAATGTAAAATGTCAGATTGTCTATCATAATAATCCACAGTTACTGTATCGATATGAAGAAATTCGTGATGGTTCAGCAGTACTTCCTATACAAGATTTCATTCTCAAAAAAGCCTTCCATGTTTGAGAAATCATAGGGCAGTAATAGCATTTTCAGTGCGTGTGTTTGTGCACAGAAAAAATAATTTGAAATGACAAACCAGGAATACCTGTTGTCCAAGTAGGATCATATGTTAAATTTAATATACTCCTTGCTTCCATTCTATCTGGGTTGGTTGTTTATACTTACTATTTTTTATAGTTAGCCATTGGCTCTGACAGTTCATTCCCTCTCATTCTTTAGAATAAGAAGTGTGGCTCCTGGAATCTTTCTTGTAGATCTTTACCATAGAGAAGCCCCTTACTCTCTGGCTTTGCCCATTTGTTTAACTCTTTTTGAGACTCTTAGGCCGCTGGAATAGACAGTGTTCATCCATTAAGAACGAAGTAACTAGAAGTCTTTCACAGCAATGGGAGCAAGATAGAGACATCTGAGTGCTATCTAGTTTTGCAACATGTGACTGAGACATTATGTCCATCCTGAGTTCAGAAGTGGAATAAAGAAGGGCCAATAGCTATTTCTTTCTATTGAAAGGTGGCAGTTATCAAAATTAGATGGACATGTGAAATATTTCTGTAATCCCTATTTTACAGCTTTATATTAAAATACATACAGGCTTTTGATATTTTCAGTTGTGCGCAATGGTTTGTCTCTCTTCTCTCTGTCCCAGTGTTTCTGACATAGGAAAAAAGAAAGAAAACAGAGAACAAAACACCCCAGAAAAGCATGTAAATAAACATGTTGCCTGAGTCATGATTCAGTCTTCTGTAAAACTCTACAGCATAAGATGTCAACAACCGAAGCACTTGTAATTTTTGGTCAGGTCTAGGTAGGGTTCCACAGAACAAGAGACTTCTCTAGACCAAGGATTGCTTGGATTGTGCTCCAGAGACAACTGTTCCCCACCTGCTCCTCAAAAAGTCCTCTCTGAAGCCCTGTCTGCTCTTCATTCGTAAAAATGAGCAGCACAGCACCATGGTTACGTTTTTCTAATTGACAGCTTACTTAGTTCTTCATTTTAGCTTGTTAGCTTCTCTGGCAATGAGAAAGTAATCTTCCACTCAAAAGAATTTGACTTCTACAAAGTGAAAAGTTGAGTAGTTCTCTTTGTACAGGGTTTATTCTCTTTCAGACATTTAAAATGTTTAACTCTAGGCTTGTGAACACTGTTGCACCCCTTCTAAAAAACAGTGCATCCAATTGTCTGGCAAGTTCTCCAGTGATTATGACAACCATGCAGCATGAACTGATATGCAAAGCTATTTGAGCTAGCTCTGTAGCTAAGCTGTCTTGGTTTCTGTAAGTAAGACAGCTGATGTAGCTAAACGTGCTCCTGAAACTTCCCTGCAGGCTTCCTAGCACAACTGTATTGCAGGGTCACAGTTAATATATTAAAGTGAATATATGATTTTGGGATCTGAGCTGGTTTGAGGCCCTTTGCAGAATACTGTGCTGTGACATATACGTGGGAACAGGATACCTCAGTGTCCTCACGTACAACACATACCCGTGGGCTAAGTGTAAAGTACAGATGACCTGATGGGAATTTGTAGAGGCCTCTGTCCTGTGAAACATGGTGCCCATTGAGGTGATCCTGCCAGCTTTTCTTTTCTGACTTGCTGTTGCCAAAGAAGGCAACCTTTCAGACAGTGGAGGTTTTCCCACTTGTGATTCACATAACTAAGGAAATCTGAGAGAGAGAAGCTCAGCCACTGACTGGATTTTAGAGCAGGTCATCTATTTGATCTGTAAGTCTTGACATCTTAAATGATGTAAGTCTCCTTGGTTAAAAGCATCAACATTAGAGCTAAAGAGCATTCACACTCCGTCCTTCATCTGTGTTCCTTTGGGAGGCTCCTGTGATGATCTGTATCTTGCTGGTATCTGGTGGCTGAAGGCAGAGGTTTTAGGTGAACGCAAAGGATATAATAATTTGGGTGGCATAATGCTTTAGCTAGCTGAAGGGTGTTAGCCAAAGCCTTTTTCACTTTCATTCATCTTGCAGGAATTGCTCTTGGCTGTTGTGATGAAACATGCTCATACGATGAATGAGATTTCTTTTAAACACAGAATGCAGAAATGCACCAGGATTAGGAATTAGAGAGCAGTGCAGTGGAGATCAGATTAATTTCTCTTTACCTGAGTCACTTGAATGAGTGGCTCTCATTCCTTAGGAGACCAGAGAAATTCAAGTGCTGATTCCTTACTAGTGTGAGAAATAAAGTTGAATTAACGTATCTGCTGTAGCTGCAAATCCTTACAGGACCTTGAATACAATGAGGAAGATTAAGAGGTTACAATAGATTCATGCACCTCTCTTCTGATCTTGTTCATTCATGCAGTAGTTAAATACACTGAGTTCCAACCATGTACCGTTTATTCCAGTTTCTAAAAAAATTGCGAATTGAAAATGCCATTTATTCAGTGGTGTGTAGAGTCAACATTTTTCTCAGGACTTCTTCTAGGGCTTTGAGTGATTGAATGGTGCAAAATACCTTTGATATCTTGTGATTTCTGTGTACTAAGAAGTAGTAAGAGAAGAAAAAAACAATCCTTGAGGAATTCTGTTTCTTTTCTTCTTGCCATACAGGAGGAATCAGTGCACAGATCAGCAAGTAGCAGCAGCATCTCTCCCTCACAAGTGGAAGACACCTCTCAAGAAGGTACCAGCAGCAGAAAGAGTGAGTTTTGATGAGAGTGACCAGTGGCTGCTTTTACACACTCCTGTTGTCTTCTGTTCTGTGAATTTTGTCTGAAACTTTTATAGAAAGCTGAAACTGAGTGTTGTTAATGGAATAAATCTCTAAAGCTGAACCCTAGAACCTCATGAATAGGTCAAATTTGATTAACAATTGGAAAGCATTAGCCTTCACTATATGTGGATGTCGTTGTGAAACAGAAGGTTTCATACTTTGAAGTTGATGTGGAACTACAGAGGAATTCACAAGTGAGTGGGGGGTAGTTTAGATATGCTCATCTCATAAAAGAATTTGTTGCTACAGAAATACATTCTAACCTAAGAACAATTTAAATGTTTCTTGCATCTCTGTCACCATGGCAGTGAATGTACTTGTTTGAAAGACACATAGCAATCACCAGTCTCTCCCATAAGTACTTACTGGGAAGAAGGGTAGATCTGTTCTTTTTTTTCAGGCACAGTTATTGTAGGCTTTCCTGTGTAACAATATTTTTCATTTGTTTCAAAGTGATTCAGTTTCATTAGAAATGTTTTGTAAGGAAATGTGTAATCTGTGCATGTATTTTCTGTGCACAGTGGTGAAATAAGTAAAATAAGCCAATACACTGAAATACTGAATTTATATACAATGGTAACTGTACAGTAGCATGCCTATATTTGCTAGTTCTGTGAGTGTTCCTGTTCTCTCAATCTGGAGAATGTGATGAATGTGGTACCTGACTTAAAGATGCTATGAGGATGGATGTGTAACATCAGCCACCAATAGTGGGAATTCTGGCAAATCAGTGGCAGGTTTAAGTACTGAGCAATCTTATCCAACAGTCTGTCTTACAAGAACTAATTTTTTTATACTGGTTGAATCTTTAGTGCCTCCAAAATTCTTGCCCATATCATCTACACCACAGCCGGAGAGACGGCAGCCACCTCAGAGACGACACTCCATTGAAAAGGAAACGCCAACCAATGTGAGACAGTTCCTACCACCTTCAAAACAGAGCTCCAGATCACTTGTAAGTGGAGTGGGTGGTAGGAGAGAAAAAAAGAGGCATGCTAAGAGTATAATGAAAATTAAAACTTGGCTTCAGTGTGATTAGGACTTCACTCAAAGAAAACTCCTCAATTCAGAAACAGCCCTTGGCTACTAAAGACGTTTTGAAATCAAGATTTGAACTTTGTCTCTCTAGCACATTTATCCAAAATCCCAGGTACAGGTGCCTCAGAAAACATTTGCACTTTGATTAGGACTCCGGGTAAAGCCACGTGTCTTGATTTTGTTCCAGAATGTTACCAGAACAGACGAACTTCACCTTGCTGATTTTCCGTTTGAATAGAGACAATTCCAAAGCAGTGGATCTATTTGGGGGAATTTTTTAGTTGTTGGAAGGATTTTAGTTAATGGTTGAATGAATGGAATGGTTTCTTTTCTTCCCACCTTAAGAATTTGTGTGGTAATGTTTATATATATGAAAGATCTTTCAGTAATCCAAATCAAGGTTTGTCTAAGTTGCTTTGTTGAAGTTACTGAGGCAAAAACCTGTATTATTGCTTGAACAGAAAGTACAGTACATTTGATCAATTAGCTTTAATTGAGAGCTGTTTTCCAACAGAGTATAAACAGCAAAGGATATGAAATCCTGGTTCATTTATGCTGACATACTGATTAGTGCTTTGTAATTTCATGAAAGATATGTTCCTCGTCTCTTTTCCTACCAGCAGGGTTTCAAAGGATGCCCCATGAGGTGCTGGTGAATAGAGAAATCGATAAACACATCCTAGTTTTGAAAGGAAGGGAATATTCACCTGCCCCTCTTGTAGTGCAGTGGTATTAATGGGCTTTGAAGAATGTTTTTGTTGGCCCAAGAGGTGGTGACTGGGATCCAAACCTATTAGACAATGAAGTTGAACAGTAACAAGAAAACAAGCTCCAAATATTCCCGCAACGTGCTTCCTCCTCTTCTTTTCAGAGGGTCTGCTGGATTTTGTTTATTATATCCTTCCAGGTAGAATGTAGTTGCTCAGTCCAGGTGAAGGTCTTCTTAGTAGCATGTTGATAAATGCACAACACAGGTAGACTTCTGCCAAAGTGAGCTTGGACTAGAATGTATTGCAGCAGAACCAAGCTGGAGGGTTCCTTCAGCATGTGTTTGAAGACACTATCATGTGAAATGGATATCCCTGTCATTGCCTGCTGCACTCACTATATATGGAAGCACAAGCTTTATTTTCTGATAGGCCCAGTCATTCACAGACATATTGTTTAAAGGAAAGAGGGGAGAAAGTATTATGTGTTACACTGAGGCATTTGCTCCATCACGCTTATAGTGTATCTAAATATGTTACACCGTTATATTGATCTGGTATGTATTTGAGAGGATTATGCAACTTAAAAGTCTTATATATGAGGCCATTATTTTAAATAGGTCAATCAAGTTCTTAGCAGGACCTTTTTGACCACATAAGTATTTTCCCTCTGCCAGTCTGTTCATGGACATATGCCTAGAAAAATATATACAAAATAAAACCATTGCAAAAAAACTAATTCAATTACTCTACTTCCCCTTAAAAATAGTAAAGGAAAAGGGAGAAAAAGCCATTAGTAAGTCAGGCTAATGTGGGAACACATGGGAAAGGTTTTACTAGTTTCTTTTACGCTTGGGTTTGGGTTTGTTTTTTATTTTTTTGATCAGGTTTTTTAATCTTTAGAGAACTGTCACCTAGCTTGGTTTTGGCTATGAAGTGAGAAAGAAGGAAAATCAGTAGTGAAATTATGTTCAGTTAGCAAGAACCTATTTTATTTGATGCCTAGAGAGCTAATTCTTTAACTTGGCAATAGTGCCCTCTAGGGTGTGACAGACAGCTCCCACAATACTTTTATTTTTAGTTTTGGTAGATGATTTCTGATATGTTGGCACTGGCCCAGTGCCACGCTTTGGCTTAATGCAAGTCCTTCCTTCCCCGGAGGGATGCCAGCTTCTTTCCATGGCTGCGCCAGATGCTGCAGGTGTAACATCACCGCTCCCGGAGTGAACACTTCGCAATAAGTCACGAATAGTATTTACTTTTTGTTTGACTTCACACTTCTTCATCCCTTCCTCCAGGATTGATGGAGTTTCCTTTCTTATCACCTGCTCCTGTGACCGCAGTTTCTCTCCAAGGTGAAAGAGGCCTCGTCAATAAGTAGCCCTCAATGCCAGGGAAAACAGGCAGGAGTTTGCTACAGTCTCCGAGCAGGATTAGCAAGAAACTGGTCTGCCTTGCATACTAAAGATGGTTTTGTGAACTGGCATCTCATCAGACAGAGGGAGTTAGATCTAAGTAGGTGGGGAGGGGAAGCAGACTTGGAAAGATGCCAAGCGTAGTCCTTTTGATAAGTCACCCTCCAGGGCTCCACGGAAGGGCAGGGCAGCTCAGGGATTTGTCAGGGGGTCAGCCTGGTGGTGTGCTCACTGTAGCGAGCCAACTCGGTGCTTAATCAGTGAGCTGAAGCCAGTGTCCCGAGATGTACATATGAATGCCTTTGTAGTCTGTTTGCTTTTTAAATTATTATTATTATCATTATTATTTTTGATGACCCAGAGGACCAAAGCTTAATGATTTCGTTTATACACAGCATTCGCTTCTCTGCTTCCTATCTATTGTTCAGGTTCCTAGGATAACCAGTTTATTTCCAAGGATGACTTTCAGACCACTTTTTTCAACTATGCAAACAGCTTCTCTGCTCGGCTCTCATCCCATTGAAGCAGCCATGTGTGGGGTGGCAGGGGCTATGTACTATCTCTGTGAGAGAGCTTTTGCCAGCAGGTGGAAACCCACAAAGGTTTGCCTCTTTTTGCTGGCTTTGGAAATCACCTTCACCAGCATGTTCCCTCCTAGGGGAGCACTTCCTAAGCTGTGGCAAGAAATAAAGCTTAGGCTGGGACCTTGCACCTGATTGACGTTGATTTCAATGTGTGTAGGATATTTGTGTGTCTTCAATCACCTCACGGGGGAAAGAAATCAGTTCTGAAAGGACAGCAAACTAAAAATGCAACATCACAAGATTATCAGTGGAACAGACCTTAAATGTTACAGCACATGAAGATCCTGCAGCAAAAATCCAGCAAAACTATTGTAACCCTTGGACTATGTTGAAAAGAATAAGGTTTTATGTTTCTAACAAGATAGACTATGTAGAATGGAAGGGCATTTGCAATCTGTTTTACTTGAAAACCTACGTATGATTTTGGTCCTCAGAACACTTAGATATCAGAACTTGCAGAATAACTAATAGCTATGGACTGGGGAAGGCTAATCCACTAAAAAGAAAAACAGAGTAATTTACCACTATGTAGAAGTGAACATGAATAATTTAATTTTCTCCTTCTTTTTCTTGTCTCAACCAGTAAGTGTGAAACCCATTGCAGGAGATTTTATAGTTGAGATATCCAGCTGACTTCTTAGCAACTTACAGTCTGCCAAAGCAACGAGAGTTTAGAGTGCTTGACTAATTGTGAATTGCAGAATTTAGAGGCCAATCCGGCACTTGTTCGTATTGCAGTTCACTGGGGCAGCTCATTTGATTGCCTAGTGAGATCCTGTAATGAGAAGTTTTACAAGGAATGTATTAGTGTAAAAATGTGTTAGTCATAAGGGGCTATTAGGTGCGTGTATGCTGAGAATGACCTACAAAGCACTTTATTTCACATTATGGATATGTAGTTCTTACTACCTGGGTTTCCTGAGTAAAAAAAAAAAATAGACATATACACCTTAAGCCATTATGGTGTTTATAATAAGACTCCACAGTCAAAGTGTTAAGCCGGTTCTTATGAGGATCTTGAAAACTTCAAGTTCAAAATACTATTTTTATGTAAGATTTTTTTTTCCTTTAAAAATAAGAATACTGACTTGTCTCTTTAATATTAAAATGAGTATTGAGTACAGTTCCAGAAAATCAAGACCATTCAAACCACATTTTATCTTTAGTATGTTCTGTTGTTTGCAAGTGCTGCAGAGAGCTAGAGTTCTCCCACCTGGAGCTGCCTAGCTTGAGTGTAGATTATTGTTGGAAGTTTGAGCAATAACTCCAAAGCATCATTGTTTAATGAAGTTTAGTCAGTGCTTAGTGTCATTTTAATTAATTTCAATGCCTTTGAGGTAGTGTAGAAGCAAAATATTTTCTTGTGTACTTATTTCTATTCTGAAAAGGGAAAAAAAAAAATCAAGCTTTTTCCTGAAATCAGCATAATATTTATCTTCCATTTAATGTTGCATTAACATTTTGTTGTCCTTGTGTAACCTCTGGAATTAAAACATTAGCATTTAAACATGTGAACATTTTCTATGTTTCCCCTTTGCCTGCTAGCTATTTCTGTTTTGCTTCAGTGATAATCATTTTCGATTGGTACAACAACAGGCCCACACTATTCCCCTAATACCTGCTCTACACCTATAGCAGATCCGCAGACTTTCTTCCAAGGAGCAATATTCCCTGACGTCATCGTTCTGTAAATTAAAGGAATGGGCGTTCATGAGGGGGAAGGAAGAGCTTCAAGTAAGAAACATGTTGCTAAAGGACTTAAAGCTCTGATTGATTACAAGCATTCAGCCAGGCTCATTCACCTCGGACAGTTTCTCTGAGCCTCCCACGATGCAGACTCAGAATCGCGGGGTGCTGCTGGCATTGTGTGCCTCCCACTTTCCCACCCGGTGCCTCTCCCGTCTCGCCCCAGCCTCCAGCCGAGCCTTCCCCGTAGCGAGGCAGTTGCTATGGGGAGAACCCAGAATGAAACCCTGGGAGCTGCCGGGTAGCTGTAAAGTTGCTCTTAAGGAACAGAAGTTACTTTGTTTTGGCTGTGCAGTTTTACACCTCAGAGCAAATTGCAGTTGCTTTTGATGTAGTTTGTTCTTTCCAGACAACTAGTGCTTCTATACCCCAAAGGTTTAGCTGGCAAATCTAACAAAGTTAACTCAATTCTAGTCTTTTGTGGGGTACCTTAAACAGAGTGAAGTTTCTTTGTGTTCCCTTTCTAGATAGGTAAGACAACAGTTTTTAAAAATATGGTGGTTCCTAAATGCTAATGTTTGCCAGGTCTGCAACGTAGAAAGATTTTCTTTTTTATCTAATGGAAAGACAGACCAGACCTCTGAGTACTTGGAAAAGGAACATTTCACTACTAGTCCGATTCATCACTTCCATTTGTAAACGAGATCTCCAAACTGTCAGCCATGTCTTTGTATTTGCAGGAGAAATTTCCTTCATTTATTCAGAGAGCATTACATGTCATTGTCATTACCGCACAGTAGCCCCTCTGGGTTGACTGAAAAGGTTCACTAAGCATAAAGCCATGGGAGTTCCCACAGAGGTTTCTGTCTTTCTGTTGGAAATGTATAATCAACTACAGGGCTGGATTACAAATTGGGTTGGTGCTTTTTATTCTCTGGTACCAAATTCAGGAGTTCTCTACTCAGTATTCTCCTAAATGCTGCAATACCAAACAGATGCAAAATTTTGTAAGTGGAAAGTCGTGTTGTTAGTCTCTATTTGAGTGTCTGCCATTAATAATGCAACATTGGGTAACCTGGTCTCCAGCTTTATATTTGCAGATGATTCTATAAAACTTAAATTGTTGCTGTTACTTTCCTGAGGCAGAAAGGAGAACTTTTCTGCCTGAACTGACGTAGCTTTTTCTAGTCTTGGTGGGATTCTGATCATGTGAGCACCAAGATGCGGTACCACTGAATAAAAAATTCTGCTATAATGGGCAACTAACAACTTTCCTTGGCCACTCTGGGCATCACAGAGTCTCAGGGAAATTGCGTGTCTTCAAACGGTATACTTAACAGTAATGCCATCTGCCAAATCACCTTTTCCCTTTCAAATTAGAAACCTGAATGTTGATTGGTTTGAAACAAATCTTCATAAGAAAAGACAAATGGAGAGAAGGGTCGAGTGGTTTGAGGAGGAAAGGTGAAGAAAACTGCCATCGTTGTGAAGGCTGAACGTCAGACCCTTTAGATCGCACTTGCGCACTCTGAAGCAGTTTGGAACTCGCGTGATGCCCATGAATGAGCCAGTGCTATTCCAGTTTGAAGGGAGAACCCCTCTGTTTCTGGAGTTGCTAACCAGGTGGCTGGTTGTCTAGGTTGAAGTCCGGAAGAAGCCATTTGGGTTTGAAATAATATGGGGTTTTTGGCTTCCAGGAGGAGTTCTGTTACCCGGTGGAATGTCTGGCCCTGACGGTGGAGGAGGTCATGCACATCCGTCAGGTGCTGGTGAAGGCAGAACTGGAAAAGTACCAGCAATATAAAGATGTCTACACTGCTCTCAAGAAAGGAAAGGTAGGGATGAGTCTGTGGAGGCTCCAAAACTTACTGAGGGAGGCCAGTCACACAAGCCGCCCATTTACACATTTGTTTCTTACCCTGTATCAGAGAAAAAGAAGAGATATCCACCAAACATCCCCCTAAATGTAGAACGCTTGGGTCAGCTTCCCTGAATTATGTGCAGAAACATCAAAACTTTGAGTGGAAATAGCTTATTTGTTTAAATGGTCTGTAAAGCACTTGCAATTACCAGAGTGTGTCTGTACACGTATGTTTTAAACTTCATTGACTGAAGTGATTTCTGTCCCCATGCCCTCTGCAGTATTGCTGAGGATTTCTATTCCAGAAAACAGAATTACAGATAGCAACAGGAAACTACAAGTTTTTCGTATGAATCCTTACTATCAAGCAAAGAGAAAATGAAAACCTTCAGAGAAGTCAGACAACATGTGACCCCAGGACATTTAGTATTGGAGAACCCATTAACTAAAGCATTTTTTTTTTCCTGTAAACTGCAGATTGGCAATCAGTAATTACCAGTAGAAGCAGGGTCCTTTTCTCCCACTTTCGACTTGTTCTGCTTGAACACTTCCAGCAACTGTATTTTGACTTCACAGTGTATTTTACCTACAGGTCTACCTGTGTCTAGTATGCAGATTTAATTTAAAGATTTAATACATTTAAAGTGGAGGAACAAAAAAATTAAAATGTCATTCATTAGATTCAGCCGTTGCCTATTGTCACGATATATAAATCTTAGTAATGAGCTTTTATCAAGTCTCAACATAAGATGAAGCTTTAATTAGTTTACCCCACTGTTAAAATTATTCACTTTTATTTCTAACCAAATTTATCTAGCCTCACCCGAGTCTGGATTTCAATATGTCATCTTTTGTTTGACTGCAGAACTTTTCATTGTTCAATGCCTTTCTTTCCTAGAAAAGTTCTTAAGCTATGATCCCTACCCCTCCTTTGAATAAACTGAATATATGGGATTTATTATGCCACTATAAAGCAGGTCTTTCTCAAGTAAAATGGCTATAATAGCTCTGTCCTGCACCTCTTCTAGTTTTCAGGAACATAGGATTGGAAGAAAATCATCAAATGTTGTCGCAGGCAAAAACTTTGTGTCCCAGAACCTGACCCGGATGGTTATGAACTGTTTCCAGCCTACGTGTGTTCATGGCTGAATTTATGCCTATTTGTTCTTGCATTCTTCGGTTGTAGCAGTTACCCTTCCTTACTGCTGTTACTCTTACTTTCCCATTGCTTTTTTGTGTAGTAATGATATAAACATCACTGAGGAAGAAGTAAAAGTAAGTTAATAATTAGCTAGCAAGTGTCTAATTTAGGTAAAATATTAAAGGAGTGTTATCTAAATGTATGAAAATACAATTCTGGACCGTTCTTTTCAATGTCGTCTTAGAAATGTTGGTCCCAGAACTGTGGTCTTGCTGGTAGAAGCCGATAGATGAAGTCATTACTGTGTGGGACCTTGCCTAATACTGTGGACTCCTCTGTTCTTCTTTCAGCTCTGCTTTTGCTGCCGAACAAGAAGGTTTTCTTTCTTTACCTGGTCTTACACTTGTCAGTTCTGTAAGAGGTAAGCATTTAATATCTATTAATAAATTAGTACCGTTTCAGAGGAACAACTACTGACCTTCACATGTTTCCACTGCATACTGTTGATTGTTTTTATTTCTGTAACAGTTGATTTTAAAGAAAAATTATGCAAAACCAGTTCCTTCCTAAGTGACAGAATTGCTTCCTTGGACTGAAACTGTTGGCTAAAAGTGAGAGAAACACTTGCTTGTTCTTTTATGCTTATGTGGGCGTGAAATGGAATTCACTCAGGCTCCCAAATCAACAGTTCCATAATCTCTGTTGTTGGGGGAAACATTTCAAGGCAATTTACTTTTTATATTCTTTCTGGATTATTGGGGGGGGGAGAAGGGAAAAGGAGTCATTTGTAGGCAAAATGAAAAATTTTAAGTTGAACAATGAGACAGTAAGTCTGGAGATCATGGAAGCACTGACTTACTGTTTCACTTGCCAAAGGAGGTTTCTTTAGAGGAAAAATAGAGCTTTTTCTTTTTTTCTATTTTTTAATTTAGCTGTAGTTCTTGTTTACCATTTCTCCTTGCTTTTGGCTTCATGTTCTGACTGAAGTTACTACACTAAGGAAGCTTTAAAAATAAAAATGTTTGTTTAAGGAGAGGATGGGGGAGGACTCTAACTCCTGAAAACATTTATCCCTTATTCTTGATTTAAATGTTATTTTTCCCAATGAAATGATTCATGCTCTTGCTTTCTTACACAGGCCTGTATGCTCACAGTGTTGCAAAAAAGTAAGTAAGCTTATGATTAGACCCTTTCTAAAAAGCTGTAATCTTTGCAGTGATACTGCATGTTCCTTCCGCTATTCTCAACAGATGCGGTTGCCATCAAAGCCATATTCAACTCTCCCCATCTTCTCACTGGGACCTTCAACCTTGCAAAGAGGAGAAAGCTTTATGAGGCCCGAGAAACCCTCTACCAGTCACCACCATTCACTGCGGAGCATGGCCAGGTGAGGAGCAACCCCAGCTCTTGTGTGTCTGCTGCAGACGCTTCCCGAGTGTTTCGTGCCGAGTTACCAACCATTAAGAAGATGCTGTCTGCCTGTTTTGTAGTTGTCAATGTCTCTGATGCCTGTAGTAACTTTTCTGGAGCCTGAAAATCCATGTCTCTTCCACTCTTTGCCTTGATTTGCAGAAATAGCAGTAGTAACAGCGTGTCTTAAACCTTTTTCACATTACAGGTGAAAAATAATACGAGTCTGGGACAACTGTATTTCTGTAGTACCTCTGCAAAAATATCCTTAGCATGTCCTTTTGTGGTGTGAATTGACTCTCCAGAGATAAATCTCCCAGGCTAGAATCACTCACTGAATGGGAATTCAGTGATGTCTTGCACAGATTCATCTTTTTTTTCCCCTACATTTTTCTAATTCCAATTTTCACTATTTTTTTTCACTTTGATGCTATCAAGTTATCTAGTGGTTTTATATCGTATGCACAGATGGTTGTCAAAGCTAATCTGAGAAAATAAATATAAAAGAAACGCTCCTTTTTGAGGAGGTCTACAGTATAAACCCTCTGCACAAATCAAAATGTTATAAATGCCCTGAATTAGTGACCGTGCAATCTTGCCAGACCGGGCAAAAGCTGTCCTCTCTGGTGTTTGGTCTCCTGGTGGCATTTTTGGGACAGGAAAAAGGAAGATGTGAATGAAGACCGTTCTGATGTGCTCTTTCCTGAAGGAGTCCCTTGGGGCCCACTGCCATGCTGCTAAATGCTGTGACAGGTCCTGCTCTTTTGCCTTTCAGGTTGACCTCAAGGTCCAAATCTGTGGATAAGTCACATGAAGAGTTTCCCAAAGAATTGATGGAGGACTGGAGCACGATGGAGGTTTGTGTGGACTGCAAGAAGTTTATTTCAGAAATCATCAACTCAAGCCGGCGCAGCCTATCTCTGGCGAACAAGCGAGCCAGGTTAAAAAGAAAAACGCAGTCCTTCTACATGTCGTCGCCAGGATCCTCTGAATACTGCCCCTCTGAAAGGACTATCAATGAGATCTGAGCCTTGTGCCTTTTTCTTTGCTTTTGTCTTCATGAGGTCATCATCCATGAGCAAGGTCACTGAAACTGGATTATCATTCCGTTGCTTCGTTTCACTTGACTGGCTTGAATTTGCATGGGATCACAGGATTTCCTACTCTGATGGATCCTGGAGACACAGAACTCTATGTTTAGATCTGTGCAGAATGATACGCAACGGGTCAGCTGCTCGCACTGGAAGAAAATCAATAGTTTGAGATTGTTGCCTCTTTTGTATGTGTGCGTTGAAACTAGAAAGCCTTTTCTTGCTTTCAGTCTTTTTTTAACCATGCTTTGAATCATTTTTCAGGAGATGAGCTGAAAATTATGTTTAACGGAGAATCAAATCTGTCAAAGTGTCAGTGTTAGCACAGTAGCAAACAGGAAGTCATATTGGCTTTGCCACCCCAAGTAATGCTCATGTCCTTGTTGAAACAGCAAAGGGTCGTGTCCCACACCAGGGACCACACTGAGCGTGAGTGACCGTGGTCGAAACCATCTGTCTTTGAACTCTTTCAGTTGCTCTGAGATCAGGGTTCAGCACGGGACTTTGCAATGTCTGTGTCCTAGGGCAAAATATATGACGAAGCTCTTCGCGCATGTGGTTGGCCATTCCCCCGAGCTGCTGTACTTTTTAAGCCTTAGTGTTCTTCTAAGTGTCTCCTGAGCAGGTTGTAGTAGTTTACTTTCTATCTTGAATGTATGATTGATGATGACTACTTGTAGCAGTGAATTTTAGTAGTAGATAGAGTTGTACAGTTTATGGGGAGGATGGGAAATAAGGGAGGCTTCTAATTTTAACTGAATACCTGTAAAGTTGTTCTTGTTACTCAGAGAAAATAGTGGGCAAGGTGTACATTTGTATTATAACGGAGCACACAAATACTGCTATAGTTATGTCTGACAGCATATCCACTGATAACCCCATTTTTTCTGGGGTTTATAACTTGGCTGTAAAGATTCATGTTCTGCTGAAATTTGGGACAGTGCTGTCTCAGATTGGGAGCAATCTCGTTTCTTCTTTAATCTTTTTTTATTCTTTTTCCCGTTTTAATTCACTCATGAAAGACTGCTACACTAGTTGTTTAGAAGCTCCAACAATGTTGCAATGTTAACTGACATCTCATGCTTTTTTGCACTTTTTTTTACAGTCAAAATGCTTTTTTTTAAAGTCAGGCATAGACAGAGTTTAGTCAATAATTTGGGGCCAGATCATTTTGGTATTTAAAAACAAGTTAACATAGCCAAGTTATTAATACTTGAAAATCAACTACTGTAACTTTTTCATAAATTTTTTAATACCCTGAGGCATATTTAATATCTATATAGCAGTGTATTATAGAATGACATAGCAGAAAAGTTTCAGATCTATTTATTAACATTTCTATACTTCGGATTAATGAGAGATACCTCAGGACTGCTCCAAAGTAGCTGGGACTGGATTTCCGTAACAGGATTTTAAAGATGTGTCAATCAAAACAGATTCTCCTACCCAAATCTCGTGCATTGAAGAGCCCAAGCGAAGGCAGGCCGCCCTGGTGCGGGGGCCGTGGGGTGCCAGGGGTGGTCGGCTGCCCCGCGGCCGCTGGGCTCCAGTCCCACTGCCCAGGGGAGTGAGGCTCCCCCTTCAAAGTGTATTTGCATGTTACGTTGCAGCCTTCGGAGCAGCCACTCATATCTTTTCAGCTGATTTGAAAAGCACATGCGAAAGTCTCCTTAAACCTTCCCAGGGACTCATCCATCCTTACTTTTCTTTAAACACCCCCTTGGAAAATGAGAATTTTTTCCATATGCCGGGCTTATTGAAATAATGTTCCTAATTTTTTCTGAACCAACGCGAACAGGAAGAGCAGGGCTCAAGGCTGACTCCCTCGCAGCTGTCCTGTGTAAGGGCAGCTGTCACGGCCCCCTCCTCGGGGTACCTCTGGAGAAGTGTCTTGCACGTTAGAGCACCTGGTGTACTGGCGTGAGAGAAGAGTGTAGGACTGCAGGGGGTGAGCAGCACAGACAGGCTGGTTTGGCAGGTCTGCTGTTGCTGGAAGGGTCACCTGATCTCAAGTCACATCAGCACTTTTTCTTGTTTCTGTGCCAAAACCAGGCCGTGTGTTTGCTGCACAGTGAAAACTAGACTGAAAGAAATGCAGGAAATCTCACTTTGCACCTCCCCAGTTGTCATTCTTATCATTTTCTCCTGGAAGTGCCCCCGCCACGTGTTACAGTCGCTTGATCCTCTGCTCGCAGTCCTCCTTCCCGCCATCCTCAAGCCACCGAGGTGCAGAGAACCCAGCACATTTCTTTTCCCCTCCCTTTGAGAGGGATTTGTGACGTTGCAGAGCCGGCAGGATCAAGGACCGAGTAAATCCTGAGTGTGCAAAGGGCATCAAGTCCCTAACGGCACGCCTGTGCCCACCTCCGCCTTGGCGGTGTCCAGGGCAGCTCTGGGGAGGTGGCAGAACCTCGGCATCCAGGCTGTTCGCTCCCGGCTGTTCGCTCCCGGCTGCGCACTCCCGGCTGCGCGCTCCTGGGCTGCGCGCTCCCGGCTGCGCGGTCCCGGCTGCACGCTCCCAGGCTGCGTGCTCCCGGGCTGCGCGCTCCCGGGCTGCGCGCTCCCAGCTGCGCGCTCCCGGGCTGCACGCTCCCGGCTGCGCGCTCCCGGCTGCGCGCTCCCGGGCTGCGCGCTCCTGGGCTGCGCGCTCCCAGGCTGCACGCTCCCGGCTGCGCGCTCCCGGCTGCGCGCTCCCGGCTGTGTGCTCCCAGGCTGCACGCTCCCGGCTGCGCGCTCCCAGGCTGCGCGCTCCCGGGCTGCGCGCTCCCGGCTGCGCGCTCCTGGGCTGCACGCTCCCGGCTGCGCGCTCCCGGCTGCGCGCTCCAGGCTGCGCACTCCCGGCTGCGCGCTCCTGGGCTGCGCGCTCCCGGCTGCACGCTCCCAGCTGTGCGCTCCCTGGCTGCGCACTCCCGGCTGCGCGCTCCCGGCTGCGCGCTCCTGGGCTGCGTGCTCCCGGCTGCGCGCTCCCGGCTGCACGCTCCCAGGCTGCGTGCTCCCGGGCTGCGCGCTCCCGGGCTGCGCGCTCCCAGCTGCGCGCTCCCGGGCTGCACGCTCCCGGCTGCGCACTCCCCGGCTGCACGCTCCCGGCTGCGCGCTCCCAGGCTGCGCGCTCCCGGCTGCGCGCTCCCAGCTGCGCACTCCCGGGCTGCGCGCTCCCGGCTGCGCGCTCCCAGGCTGCGCGCTCCCGGCTGCGCACTCCCCGGCTGCACGCTCCCGGCTGCGCGCTCCCAGGCTGCGCGCTCCCGGCTGCGCACTCCCCGGCTGTGCGCTCCCGGGCTGCGCGCTCCCGGCTGCACGCTCCCGGCTGCGCGCTCCCAGCTGCGCACTCCTGGGCTGCACGCTCCCGGCTGCGCGCTCCCGGCTGTGTGCTCCCAGGCTGCACGCTCCCGGCTGCGCGCTCCCAGGCTGCACGCTCCCGGCTGCGCGCTCCCGGCTGTGTGCTCCCAGGCTGCACGCTCCCGGCTGCGCGCTCCCGGGCTGCGCGCTCCCAGCTGCACGCTCCCGGCTGTGCGCTCCCGGCTGCGCGCTCCCGGTTGTGCGCTCCCAGCTGCGCGCTCCCGGCTCTGTGCTCCCCGGCTGTGCGCTCCCGGGCTGCCCAGCAGGGCAGGGGCGCAGACACCGAACAACGACGTGATGGTTGTACGAACGGCTCCACGTTGCTCACGCAGAGCTGCCGTCAGGCAGGGCCTGGATAACCTCCCTTCTCCCCCGGGAGAAACCCTCCGGGCTGCTGGCCCGCGCCATGGCCGGCTCCAGACGGCGTGGTGCGGAGGTCTGCCTCTCCCCCTCCCGCCCAGCCCTCCCTCTCCAGCAGTTGCTCCGCGTGACCCCGACATTCCCTTCCGCAGAAGCAGCAGCGGCGGGTTGGTTTGTCACCCAAAGCCTGCAGGAGCTCAGCTCCCTGGTTGCCCGGCTGTGTGCTCCCCGGCCTGTTTTTACCTTTCCCCCTCGCTGCTTGCGCCAGCGTCCCAAACCCACTGCAGCCGTTTGCCTGCGCACCCCGCGGTGCTGCCCAGCGTGGCCCATTGACAGTCTGAACTTCGCATTAACGTCAGAGGATGAAATCAGAAGCTTGTAAATATGTGTATTATATTTAATATTTAGGAAGTCTCCATCAATCATGCAATGGCAATTGATTTTCCCATGATGTTTTAAAAAGGAAATGAGTCTTATTTATATGTGTGTTGGCTATTATCTTTATTAGAGTTAACGCTTTCAGCCCCTAACACAGTTTGCACTCCATAGGCGTTTTAGAGTGAATTACTGCTGAAAAGAATGTGGGACTCCCACAGTGAACTCCCTTCCATGAATTTTTTTTTTTTTCCAGCTTTATTAATATGCCCAAGGTCTGTTTAAATATACGATAGGAGACCCAAGAAGTTAACAGTGCCACTGGCGGCACCGGTCCTGTTCCATGTGACCCTGGTTGTGGAGAATTCAAACCTTCAAACCCAGCTCTGCCTGGCGGCAGCGGTGCAAGCACCAAACAGGCCTCCGCTGCGGCTCAGACCCAACCTTTCACATCTTGATGGTGACAGTAGTGCTTTGGGGGTTGGTTGGTTTTTTCCCTTTCCCCATTACTTACTTTATAGAGGGAGGGGTGTTACCTGGTGAAAATAAAATGCCTTTCCATTACAGCCCTTGTCTGTGTTAATTATTCACGTGGAAGCTGATTTAAAGGTTCTGTGTCTCTCCTTTTTCATGCTTTTATAGTTTTGTAAGATCAGTCGGACGTTTCTTTTGGCAAAGAATCGTTAATTAAAATGATTGGATAACAGCCGAACGCTGGCTGGGCTGCATGAAGGGATGGGAACATGCTGAAGTACTCTTAGAATAGCAATAAAACTGCTTGTACAACCCACCCCAGTGATGTGACTCGCACCCCGTCAGCGTTTCCAGCCACCGCGTTGCTGCTTCCCGCACCGGCGGCCTGTAGCCGAGGCGCGCTTGTCCTGCACGTAGTACGGGCTTTGGGAAATCTCTGTCCCTCATCTTCGGGAGAGAAATGTTGGTGGTCTTTTGGAGAGGTTTTTGATTGGTTTTGGTTTTTAGACCAGAAGCAGAGAGGATGTTACCACAACTACTCTTGTTCTCTCTTCAAGCTCCCCTTTTTCCCCAGGCAAGTTCAGCATCAGCTTCCATGGGTAGTTACTGGCTGCATGCACTGCGGGTCCAAACTAATTTAAAAGCTCCAACTGGAGATTCCTGATGGCCACCTTCATGCTTTACCTCATCCAGCAGCTCTGTACATCTTTTAGGAATGTTTCTTATGAGCTCAGTCTCATCTGTGAAACAGTCACAGCACACAGGCATGAGGGAAAGGTGCTGCGACTGTACGATCTGGTGCTACAGCCTAGGGATTACGTTAATGTTACTATAAAATTTTATAGCATTTCCATGTTGGTAACTTGGAGCTGCTCTAGTTTGTTTCTTCTTGTCTGTGTGTATCTTAAGGCCACTCTGAGACTGTTTATGAACATTGACTCCAGCTATAAAGATCTGTTTTGTTGTTTCTGTCTGATTTTTATTACTGTTTCAGATTTTTTGAGTACCCGGAATTACTATTCACCAGAACTTCCTGGCGGGAGAACCACAGGAGAGGGGCATTAGCTCATTCTGGCGTGATACACAAAGGCACAGAAGCCATTTCCTGGCACAGAAGCGTCAGTTCATGAGCGTTGCCCTCGTGGCAGCTCAGAGTCCAGCGCCGCCGTCCCTTCCCGCCGGGAGGGCTGTGCCAGCTGCCCTGTGCACGGGGTGGCTGCCGAGCGGCACCCGCGGGCTGCGGCAGCCCCGAGCAGAGGGGCTCACTCCCCTCCCTGCGCTCGCAGCTCCCCAGTGAAAAATCCCCGAGCTGCTCGTGTTGCTCAGCTGACCCCGCACAAGCTGCGAGTGAGCCCTCCCCCGCCACAGGGTCCCCATCTGCAAGAACAGGGACTACAGTGGGGTTACAACTGTGGAAAGAATTTGGAGGGCTGCTGAGAAAGAGAGGGGCGCCCAGTGTCAGAGCTAGTGGGATCCTGCGCTGCAGGTTTCCATCAGCTTTCGGTACCTGAAAGCATTAGCACCCCTCCCAGCTGCACTGAAGGCCCCATAGGTGAAACTTTACACCACTTCAACAAGCAAAGCTTAATTTTACCGTGATGGTCCACACTCAATGAATGTCACAGGGCACAATCAGGAGGTGGAGCTAAAGAGTTACCAAACAGACACAGTGAATTTTATGTGGCTTCAGCTTTGCCTGCTTATTTGCGCTAAAATGCAATTCAGTAAAACTTTTCAGTTTCTCCTCTGATCAGGCTGTTCCGCAGTGGCAGATACACACAGAGCCTGGGCTCTCTGTCCTGAAATTACAACAGAAGCTGCTGCAGCCTGCAAAGGTCATTGAGATGGTTTTTACAAAAAACCTCCTTCCTAGAGGAAGCCATTTGGAATAGACCTTTCTATTAAAGCTAATAAAGCACATTTTTAAGCAGATAATCTTTTGAGGTGCCAGGCTACTTAATGTAGCCACAGGTGGAAAGTATGTTTGATTATTAACCCATTTGATTAAAAAAGAACCTCTACAGGTTCAAAAAGGTGAGCATCCAGTATGAAAAAATACATTCTTGGGGCCTCCCATGCAGTTGTAACGCTGACATTAAGCTACGGGTCCTCCCAGCGTTTCTCTACCCAGTCAGGTCAGTGCTTAACCGTGGGAGCCAGCAATGCTTTGGCTTCTGCAGGCCAAACATTGCAGCGTGGGGCTGTGAAACCGAGTTTCAGGAGCTGCTAAATCTAGAATGAAAGGACACGGGCACGAATGGTGCAACTGCTGCAGGAAGTTGGCTTCCAAAGCCTGGTGGAGACAAGCACCAGTTAAGTTGAGCAGCTGCCTTCTCACAGCCCAGCTTACGGGGCAGGTAGAGGCCAAGGCCCAACTTCAGCTTAGACATTTGACGGGCACGTTTCTATTGAAGGGGCTGGTGGTTACGCTACCTCTGAATTAGAAAGCAAAGCGAAGAGACAGTGAGGAGTGTATTTGAGCTGCGTTTCTGTTAAAGCTGGTTCCCCCTCCCCGACCCCCCCTCCTTTAATAAAGGAAGAAAAGAAAATCCCCAAACAGGAGATGCACTTTTTGGACATTAGCAGGTTCAAAGCACAAACCCTCCCCCTTCAAATTTCTCCTGCTTCTGTGCTGTCACTGTGCATGTACCGTCTGCACGGCTTCAGGTGCACTCGGGGCATCAGCTCTAACAGACAAAGGCAATAGAATTGTCTTCTGCTTGTTTTCATGTTATGTGGTACTAAAATGCAATTTCTTGTTTATGCATTACTAATAAAAACTTCTTTAAAATGACAGTGCATTGCTCTCGCTTTCTTGAGCTAGCTATAAAGATGGCAAGCATCATTTCTTACACAGCACCGCTGGTAGGGGCACGTTCCACCTTTGTTCAGTCAGGTAGAGCTTTCACTGATGATTTTACTTGCAGGTGCCTTCCAATAAAATGAGAATCATACCTCAGTCACCTCAGCTGTGGAAAAATTAAGAGGACAGGACTTGCGCTTCACAAACTGCCTTTTCATTGAACAAATTCATAGCAAAAGCAGGACCTGCCTCCTGGAGCTGCGATTACAAGGCCAGCCTGTAAACTGCACGGCTCTGACTGGTGGCAAGTAGCGTTGGTGGGGTAAAAAGACAGTTTATTAGATAAATAAGGTCTTATTTACAAGGCAAGGCTTTACTGCAAAATGCCAGACCCCGCTGGAGTTACCAGTTCAGGCAGAGGACCCCCCAGGGCTTCTGACCAGTACGATGTGTGGTGCCCCGTGTGCGCCAGAGAGCCCGGGGCTGGCTCCTGCTGCTTACCCAGCGCAGACTAATGCACATAATGTTTCTGCAGCCTTCTCTGAAAACCAACAGCCCATTTTATCTTACAGCAGTTACACCCAGAAGTGGTTTTTTTTTTTAAATGAGGATGTCATTTATTTAAAGATAGCACCACAGTGTACGCAGACACTTTACAGAGCCCTGCCCTTCACAGCTTACAATCTAGGAAGATGCAAGAAGAGCAAAGGTGGTGTTACCCGCTGCTCCACCTGAAGATTTAAATGAAAAGTGTCACATCAAGGAATGTCACTGGTCATCCTGCTTACACCGTCAGATACACCAATGCTTGATATGTGCCACATCAATTCCTGATACATGCCAAGTGCTGCAGTTCAGTGCTTTTACTTGCGTTAAGCAAGTCTTTCAAGAATACTGTAACTTACACTAGGGTTGCCTGTTTTGCCCGACAGATGTGACCCTTCCCCCATCGTGCCTGCTGCCTGGATAGGGAAGAAGTAATAAGAGGTATGGGGGAGCATGGAGGACTCACACTGGCCCAAGGGCAAATCAGCAAAAGAAAAAAAAGGAAAAAAAAAAAAAAGGATAGTCTACACAAAACCAATTACACACAAGACCATTTGATCACACTGTTTTAAGGTAATGCCTCTGGTTGCTAACGTGAGCCAGTCTGCACTAGCATGAAAAATAAACATCAACCAGAAACCAAAGTTTACCTCAAGTTTGGTATCTTCGACATCTTAAAATCCTTCAGGGCCAAGAGCTAACGTGCCCAGTTTGCCATGTTCTGGGAACCACCACTGACATCTTCCCTCCCCGTTTCCCCTGCAGTCAGGAACCAGATATCCCCAGCTTCATCCTCCCGCAGCAGGCGTGTGCCATGCAGCTGGAGTTACTGGACAGGGTGAGCAGCCACACTTCAGTCTGGAGACCTGATACACTGGCACTGAATTCCTAAAACCAAAGCACCTCCCTACACACCCCACACCCCCCCTCCAACTCCCTTTCCCTGGAACTGCGACCTGCCAGCTGAGGAACACCAACCTGCCAGCCTCAGTGGCTTGAACAGCAGCAGCGAACAATCTTCCTCTCCAACACACAAAATTCCACTTTAATTCTATTTCCAACTCTCAAAATGCAGAATTCCTATCCAAACTGGCACTTGCTACCCACTAATCAGCATGGTTACAAGTGCTGAGCTTTTTTCTGCTTGGTCCCCAGCAATTCAAGATCCTTCCAAGTTAATGAGTGTTGACTTAACACCGTTTCTGCTTTGTAAGGGGTTTTTTGACTCCTGTGTATGTGGCTGTTTCTGCACCAATCAAAAAAGCTATACCCCCCTGCTCCTGCAAGCAGCCTAGCCCTCACATGTGGCTTTTTGCCTGACAGACACCTCAGTCAATGCACGTGATGTAAAACTGACTTCAAAAATATTTTTTAGCCATTTCTGGTAATTAAAGATGGGGGAGTTTCCCTAGGGAAGGGCCAAGATAAGTAATTCTGAAGGTAGGGGTTTTTTTTGCCCCAAGGGTTAACTCAGACTGTAACAGTGACAGAACTGGAGTGGGAAATGGAGTGCTTCAAAAACACTGTTACGCACAGCAGTGCTGAACACACAGCTACAGATCCCATGGAGAAGAGTGACATGCTGAAGGGAGAAGGGTGGGAGCCCCGTATGCAAACTAGATGGGCAGCAAGCAAAAGAGTGGAAGTGTCCAGGTAAGCTACAGGAAATTAAGGACCACTTCATCTGCTAAACACTGGAGCCTACTCGGTCCCACTGTGACCACTGCCTGCAAGGTCCTTTGTACACACTGGCCAAATGAGCAACCATGGGAAGATCAATAAGCCCAGCGGTGCGGGAGTGTCACCTTCCCCAAAGACAAGGCGAGAAGCAGCAGCACTGTCCGGCAGTGGAGAGGCAGCTGGGTGACAGAACTGGCCTCTCGGAGAAATCAGTCTTTTTCCTACCCAGTTTCCCCACTCCCATTTAGCCTAGAGAAAAGCAGGAGAGGACTGACACAGGCAGGCGAGGTGCTGATTCATGGCAAGTGGAGCAGCAGACAGACTGGAAAAGCAAGCACCTAGCCGTGTAGTTCGCAAGCAGCATGAAACGTGGAGAGGAAGCAGCCCCAAACCAGCAGGGAATGAAACAGAAAGGAGAGGCTGCAACACGAGCAGATAAGGATTGGCGTCTGGAAGAAGGAAACAAAGTGCAAAGAAAGTAATCCAGAAAACTGATGCATAACTGGCACTGCCCCTACGGTGTGGCAGAGGAGTTCAGCCCTGGACAGAGTACAGGAGCCTGTGGTGACTTTCCTGGGACATCATCTAGAGCTGGAAGGTGGTCAGCTTTAAAACAACACTACACAATTATTTCAAATCTGATGCAAGCAGCAGCTTTAGACAATTCTTCCAAACTGAAGCAATGAATAAACCTCTCCAAAGACTTTTCCACCCCCTTGACACTTATGTTTTCATCATCTCCAGTAGGCATGTGTGGAAATGCTGTAGTACAGGTTTCCACATGCACACACACTTACTCATCTTTTCCCTTCATTTGCAGAGCTCTGCCGTAGCTGCACTCCCCTTCGTAGCAGGATGCCACCAGGAGCAAGAACATCTTCTGCATTCATTATCCAGGAAGTGGCATCACTCCTCTGAGAAGCACAACTGACCTGCACCAAAGCTCTCCAGCGAATCTTCCAGAAAGGAGCTGCTATCAGACTTTAAGCTCTAAGTTTCTGTTCCAAAATAAGAAAGGCTTTAGGTCCACGTAAAAAGAACAATGTAAATATTAGCTAATCATTTCATTCCTTTCAACTAATATATACATATTTTTCAAATTAAGTTTATTCATTAGGATCATATAATTCAGTGAGACTATAGTTACACCCAAATTAACGTTCACTTTCAAACTAACTAGAATATGAATGCTGAAATTTCCCTTAAGCTACGGAGACTTTAAATTACCCGATCAAAACAGTGACCAGCATTTTACTCTTCTAGTTCTTTAGAAGTTATTCATGCTCTTTAACAGCTTCCTAAACACATCCTTGCAACATTTATTTCACTTTGTGTACACACCAAAAAAATAAGTTAAAATGCCCTAACAGAGATCTGTGTATAAAACATACACTACACCTGGACCAAATACGAAACTTTTGTGAACATCAGACAAGGCTATGACTGTTACTGATATATATTTATGCATGTTTTATAGGAAGCAATTTCTGCAGTTACTGATAACAAGCAGCATTTAAAATGATCCTTAAACCCATTTTGTACCAATGTGGAAAAGTGTTGAAAAAATTCAGTTACACCGGTAGTCAGTAGAAAGATTCAAAAATGAGAGTCCATTTGTTTTTCTTGTACTCATTTTCTCCATTCAAGGCATGAAAAGTACATGTTCATGAAACCTTACCATTTGGGTTTCAAATGTCCTGCTTATTTCTCATTTCAACTCTTCTGGTTATTGCATCAGTTAGGACACGATGTGAAGACCAAGGATGAGTGGAACAGCACAGTCTCTTCATTCAAGTAGCCTACAAGTACCCTTCTTAGACGTAAATAAGAGAAGTGTTTTCCAGCACTTTCCAAGAATTACTACTCCTCTCTTCATAGGAAGGGGAGAAACTAGGGCAATTTAATAAATATGAAAATAAATTATACCCTTCTCCCCACAACAAAAAAAAACCCTGTTTTAGGCTACTAACATCAATCGAAACTTTACCTTTGTTTGGATACAGACACCTAAGAGGTAAAGTATCTGTGTGTCATGTTCAGGCAGCACATTTAAACAACATAAGAAAAGTTAGTACCACACAAGTTTTAGCTTTTCAGTATGATCCTCTAGATAGGTATCTAATGCTACAGTATCATGTTCTGACTCCTGTAGTTCCCTTTAAATGGTCATAAAACACTCTCAGATTACAAAACAGACAAAATCCAGTGTTCCGGTACCTACCAGCCCTTCACAGAACAAATGTTCACATGGAAAACCCTTACTATCATATGTGCATTCTTTTCAAGTTTGAGTACGAAAAACTGAGATGGTGTAAAAATGACATACTCTCTTTGTTATAAAAGGCACATTTAGGCATTTTTAAATGTGCTAAATGTTTTGTTTCCAGTGTTAAAAATAAATCGTTTAAATGAAAAGAGCATCTGCAGGAGGTCAATTTAATCTTCAGTAGGCAACAGGAGCTGCTGTGGAGATGATGGAACGAGGTTACTTTTCAGATGATCCAATATTCTTATAAATATATAAAACTTCTGCAGGTCAGCCTTGGAAGGGAGATCTACAAAGTCGTCTGCAGGATAAAAACTTTTGTGTCAGTTACTTGGTAGTTTTGGGTTTATTTTTCTGTTGATGCTGCTGCCATGGCTGGTTTCATGCCCTCACGTGTTGACTTCAGCTCCTCCAGTTCTGTGTTTAGTTTGCTGATCACCCACTCCAGGGCATCCCGACCCTGCCAGGAAAATACTGGAATTTAGGATCAGAACAGATACTCCACCACTGCTCATGTTTCTATAGTTTTTCCTCTGTCAGACATGAGACTTGCTTTAAAATTATTTTCATGCCCTGCATAGTTTGATATGAGATTATATTGATAATTTCTTAGCATCTTCTTATGGAAGCTTCACTGCAAAGGCATTTGCTTAACCCTTAAGCAAGAAGTAAATGCAATATTGGTGTGAGCTCCCAGTAGCACACCTAGGCAAAAAGCCTAATTCAGCACATAAGTTCCCTTATGTAAGAGTATTGCTATTTTTACAGTTTGCTGCTCCCACCACCCAAAGAATATCATCAAATTTATGCCAAAGTCTAAATACTGTTCTCAGATTCATTAACCAAGTTATATGGACAGTTTTTGAGAAGATCCAGGACAAAGAGAGATAGCCTTCCAAGTGCTCTTTGAAGTAGCAACTAATTGATTTGATATCTAGCAAGAGTTCAGAGATGGACTTGCCCTGAATTCTATACTCATGCACAGCACTATTCAGCATACAAAACAGACTAACTGAGAGACTACAGTCACATATTTTATATCAAGGTATGATCTTTCTCTGTTCAGTTCTCGGAACGGGAGTGCCTCAAAGCTAGGGATTGACGGCCGATGCTTTAGCAAGGGCTGGGGAATCCAGCAAAATAAGCACGTCAAAAACTTTTTACCTTAAGGAGACCCTGTAGCAGCTGCACTCCAATGACCACAAGATGAGCACGCAGCCAGCAGCACAACGAAACCAAGAAAATAAACAGGAGCACTTTAAGTAAACAAAAGTGCAAGATTTCAGAGCTTCACAATGTCAGAACAACAGCTTTTGCCAAAACAAGTGGATGGGATCAGACCAGGCAAACACCTGGCCTTTTTTCACTGAAACAGAAGCCAAGAGGCATTCACCTCATTATGCTATTAAGAATAAGAAGTACAAACAGCAGAGAGCAGTAACTGGGATCCACAGGGCTCAGGCCAAGTCTTGAGGCGTGCTGGAGATAAAGGATGTGAGCCCAAACCTCAGGAGAGCCAGTGTCAGTGTTCAAAGCCTCTGCAGAGACTGAAGGAAAGGGGGACGACAGCCCTACACACACAAAGGGTTGTTCTGAACTCTGTCGTACCATTTTTGTTGCATGCATTATAGGTGATAAAGTGAACAAAAACTTCTTCAAGTGTCTAGAACTTGCTGTTAACTTTTAAAACTACTAAGCATGAACAAGAATCTGCATAAAGAGCTTTGAAAACTTAAAAAAAAAAAAAAAAGATTGAAACAAAACCCACACATACTCTTGAAGAACTTTTTTGGAGGCTAGAAACATTACTCTGGAGTAATATTAAAAGCTTGGTTCCAGGCTGCAAAGTGTAACCTACTAAAAGAAATAAAGTTTTAGTATGAATAACAGCATATTAATCTCAAGACCCTCACTAAATTCAGTGAAAGGCTGGCTCTGTTTCTCTTCAGATTTTTCATATTACAGGGACTCACAGAATAAACACTAATTGCTATGTCTGCACTGACAGTCAGTACTTAACCTGGGAAAAATTATCCACGTATCACAACAAAGTGGTCAACTCTTGGCCAGAGCTCAGAAAGGGGGATTCAGCTCTATCCAGAATTACCTCAAGAATCTTTAAGTTAACTTAGTTCAAGACATGCCTTTAAAAAACACCAACAATAATCAAGGAAACATGATTCAAATTGTCCAGTTTAAGTACGGATTGCTGAAAAAAGCCCATAGAATATGATTTAACTTCTGAGTTCTTTCCATTTGAGTACCAAATGGACCCCCCTTCAGCTGGTGATAACTTCCACCACCTCTACATCCTGTGCAATACCTGGAAACACCAGCAAAGCCTGGATAAAAGCACCCAGACAGCAGTAGCAACAAATTGTAACTAGTCGTGAATTAGCCTAGTGGAATGCTGGGTAAGGAACAAAGTGGGGGGAGAGAGGGGGAATCATCTTTCAGTAAGCACGCATTTGGATATTTAAAAGTCAGATTAGAATGTCCTCTCTTAGGTGACACAGAGAACTGAGTAAGACAGCAACAGCTTAGATGTTTTATTTGTCTAATCACACAAAGAAGACTTGTCAGAAAGTCAAAGACCTTTGATGTTGAAAACGCTCAGTAGAAAAATACCGAGATTCTTTACGGGCCCTGACTATGAAACAACCAGGTCATAGTGTTTTAGTTGATATATTTGTTGACAAGATGAACTAAAATTGAAAAAAGCTACAACATTCAACTGGAACACCAAAGTATTTCCTTCATCTTTTGAGACTACATAGGTCTGCACGTTTCCTTACACCTGCATACACTATATGCTGTATTTTGCAGCTAAGAATAAACTAGTAATATTGGCAAGGAAGATTTCAGGAATATTCTGCACAGGAAATTAAGTCAAAAATCTTAACGAGATAGAAAGCCTCTGAGTACTGTAGAACTACCCAGTTACCCCCAAAAAAAATTCTGACAGAGGATTGATCTATAAAGTTTCATATGTTACAACAAATTCTGTAGTAAGTCATTAAGCAAGCACATTCATCACCAAGCATGCATATTCATTCTATTAGCCTTTATTGCATATGTTAGCAGTATGATGTGTTTGGCAGACCAAACACTGCATATGAAGATTTGTTGGTAGAGCTTAAGTGACTGATAAATGCTGAGCCTTTGTAGTTGATGTTTTCCCGAAAAACAGCCATAAAAGCTTAGTGGAATGAGAACTAAAAGCAAACACTCATGGCATACACTGATCTCAAAGTAAGCAGTATAAAAAAACCTATATTCTTAAGTAGGAGAAGCAGCATAACAGATTTTTTTCTTTTTTTTAAGGAATCTTATTAGTTGAAGCATAAGCCAACACAGGAATGACAGAGACAGGCTACACTGACTACAGGAAGGTAAACAGTCTGCACAGAGGTATCAGAGGCAAGTACACTCAGTTCTCTCAACCTTGAAGTCAAATTTTTTCATAGTCACATTGCTTAAGGGACACGTCACTACCGAAATGGAATATAACTACAAGACCAATGAAAAACGTGAACAGTCTGGCATTCTGACAGCTTCAAGCTTTGTACAGATTTCCACAGAAGTTCACAGAAGGGCAACAATATTCTTCAGGCATAAGAAAAGCAAATACAATTTCACCATGCAAAAGATCACCCGTTAGGCAATCTGTTTCAAGAAATCAATTTTATATCCTAAGAATACAATTCAGTTGTTTCATTTTTATAATGCCAATTCCAGTCACTAACCAATTTATTAATTTCTTCAGGTACCAGTTTTACATACTGAAATCACAGAAACTAGGACCAGATCAAACACTTGCTGGAGGGACTCATTCACATGCCCAGTTACCTGCAGTCATCCTTCCACTTTCAAACCAAAGCAACACCGTGTGGCCCAAGACACGGCTGCAGCAAGTTGGTCATCCAGTGGCATAAGCACAGGTTAATTGATCCAGTCTAGATCTGACCTACTCTCAGTCTCTACAACTGCAGTATAATGAACGTTTGCCATTCCTGTATGCAATGTATATAAAACATACATGCAGGTTAATTTATGAAATTCACATGACAACAATCCATGCACATATTTGCTAGAAAGCTGAAATGCTGTACCAAGAAGAATAATGCTGGCATTACCACTAGTTAGTACAAACTGTAGATTGGAGAACTGCTAGCTTAGAGCGCTTTCAGAATTTTGAATTATCCACTCAATAGCATCCCACCCCTGGAGTAACAGAAAAAATTTACAACATATGGCAAATGATTTTTCCATCATCATGAAAAATAATAATGCATCATCTGCCACTTCTATCTCACATCAAAATCTCCATACTTACTTCCTATTTCTTCAGAACAAAACATTTTTCAGCAACTTTCATGAAGTTTAAGAGGGTGCTAAAACACAGAGGCACAGCACAGCATGGGAGAAGAGCCAGTAAGAGCAGAGGAAGTTACTGGCTAGCAAAGAAAGGGCTGGTAACGGCAAGCACAAATTCCTGCCAAGTTCAACACCTCTAATGAGACTCTTCGGTGAAGCACACAGGACAAGAAGGTGGGTTTGATTTGCAAAAAGCTTATGAACCCATGTGTTCCTTGAAAATGGCAGAACAGAAGAACAATCTTTAAAAGAAACTGAGCTCTCACAGAGGCAACACCTAAACAGGTACCAAGAAACATTTACACTCTCTGAGTTCAACAGAGACATGTAAATGTGACAAATGCCATGAGAGGAATTCAGCCAGCACTTTTAAGTGTGTCCAGTTGATCTGGCCATTCCAACTAGCTAGTGCTTTGCTACCTCTGAGTCTGCCTGAAGTTTGGTTATAAGACAGGGAGCGGGCTTCTCTTTCAAGAATATATGCCCCATACAGGCTTTTAAATGGAAGCTGGATCAGAACAGAATTGTAATTTATCTGAAATAGATTCCGTTTATGACTTTCAAACAAACACAGAGAGCACTCAGCTAGTTAAAGGTACTCCTCAGTATCTAGAAATTACCTATCGCTCTTTCCCCACTCCCTGATTTTAATCTTTTTTCCTCTCATTTTTGAAGAGGCACACAGAAGGGAGGAAAACAAGGTCTTCTCTCTGATCTAGTTGGTTAATACCTCCTGCCAAGTCAGCTTACACTGCCTTGGTCAAGCAACATCCCTCTCAAGGACAAAGGTCTGGCCAAAGCACAGGCTCTCTGGCATAGTAGGAGTTACGTGGGCCACACTCCTACTGTGCTGAACCTCTTCAGCAAATCCAGAGCACCAAGTCAAATCGCAGGTGCACTCATCCTGCTATTAGGCAGCAGCACTTATGCTTCTCTAGCAACCCCAGTTCTCTCCCACCTTCCCCAAAGAAAGACAGGACAAAGCGTCCAAAAATAAGCCCTCCTGTAGCTCTGCCTGTGCTGAAGTGCAGCTCCATGGCTGCAAGCCAAGTAGAAAAAGCAAGCACCTAACAGAGGAGTTGGTGTAGTGTTACCTACGAAAGCCAGCATAATTTCACCTCCTCAAAGAATATGCCTTTGCTTATACCACATTACCTTCAGCCAAAGGCAAGGAGACAGCTCAATAATGGACAGGAACTGGAACAACTAACAAAGCAGCACAAAAAATATGCTAGCATTAACTGCTGAATCCAGATTATAAAGGCTGAAAAGGAAGTTATATTCACTACTAGCACTAACTCCAGTAAATTGGAGGTTAGTTTTTAAAACGGTACTTTGGAAAAAAAAAAAAAAAAAAAAACCAAAACCAAACCAACTAATATGTGTATGTGATATGTAACTGTAGCACACACAGAGAAGTCTGTTTGTTCTGCTGTGCAATTCTAGTTGAAAACCAGAGATTTAGTAGTGAAACTTCTTCATACTTTGGGAAATTATATTCTACTTGCTGAAGTCCTACATAAAAAATCAGTTGCAACTCTGTGCACAAAGTTTAGAGACAGTAAATATAGTATTCAGCACACATGACTGACAATTACTATTTGAACAAAAAGAAAGGTAGGAGTGAGGGGAGAGAGTGAGAAAACAGAATAAAGATGTACCTTTCTGGCATTGGAAGATATTGTGTTTGCCATTAAGCTTTCCAGATAACTGCTCAAACTAATTCCTTTAACAGTAATAATTGCTTCTTGAGTTAGCACAGTTCTGTAAGAGAATAAAGAAAAGTTAGTATGTAAATATTAAAAATATTAAAACTGGACTAACATAATGTCTCATCACAAAGAAGCACACAGATATTCTTACTTACTTTTCTGGGTTTTCAGGATGAGGCGTGTAAACTAGTCTCTCATCAACAGAGACCAAGTTTGTGAGCGTAATCTTAAAAAGAACAAAAAAGAGCTGAAATCCTCACTTCCCGCCTTTCATTTTTCTGTTATCAACAGCACTACTCAATAGTAGAGCATTCAATTTAATGTTAGAGACAAAGCAGTGTACACAGAATATAAATCCCAGTACACAGTCGATTAAAAAGACCTATAGAGGGTGATGAATCTTATCCTATCCTAGATCTAATTATATCAAGCTAAGTTGCTATTCACAGTACAAAGCACAAACAGCTTTCCATTCCTTTTCTCTGAATGTTTACAGCATGCAATTCAGAGAGGCTCTTCAAGACCAAGACCACCATAACACTATTTGGAGTGTACAGAAAATTAATATTCAGGAAAGAGACAGACTTGTAGGAGTTGTCCTACAGACAACTCCACTTTAAATACTATAGTTGCAAATTTTCAGGATACCAAATTATAGCATAATTCTTTACTTACATTTTGTGAGAAAAGGCATTTCAGATTAAAACTTTTGTTGTAAATGGCAGTGTAATGTAGAATAAGTTATTCATCTAGAAGTCAAACTATTTTACATGCATTCTGAGAAATAATCTTACACTAAAAAACAGAATCACAAAAGTTTGATCCTGAAGTATTTAAAGCTCCCTATTTGTGGGAAGGAGGAGGAGGGAAAAAAAAAACAGAGCTAACTAAGATGTGGAAATTGCCACCTCCTGATGAAAGATGCAAACACATTTCTAATCTAAATGTTAAGAGCAAAACATCTAATCTCCGGAACTAATTACAAGAAACATCTTAAGTTACCACTCACATTAGTTGAGCAAAGCTCCATCTTTTTTTCCACTGGATCTACCACAGAATGTTCCTCAATGTAAGTCAGAGTTCTACTTGTTCCTAAAATCTGAAAGTGAAAAAATTAACAAATTTTAAAAGTTAATACTAAAATTAAAAAACACCACACCTGAAATGCATAAATGTCAAGTCCTTAGTGACCCCAAATAAATACAAAGTAATTCATGGATACCAGAACACTGTGACCAGTGGCAAGACCACATCCTGGTAGGGTTGTATCAGTCATATAGCATGACACAGACCAGTCTGGAAGGCATGTATAGACATATACACACTACAGGCATAATAAAGCCTATAATGTATTGTCACTACTACATATGCTAATTACAGCTTATGTCATATTTGTGGATGATATTTCCTACAAATTAAGCTTTTACTTTGAATTCAGCTCCAGTTCAGATGACAACGCAGAAATGCATCACACCCTTAATAAACCATAAAGACTGTAAAGTGTACCGCTTTTACAATACTTGGCAATCCCCACTCCGTGCTGAGAAGACGGTGACTATGCAGCCTCCCCTGGTTATCCAGGCTTCTGTCGAGGACATCTACTCCTACCACACACGGATTCATTGGGTTGGGGTACTTTCTCATAGCAGCTTTGATCACTGTATCCCAGGGGTGTCTGTAAAAAGGAGACAATATTTTGTATTTAATTGCAAGTATTCAGACAACAGTAAATCAGGGATCTAGCTTGCATGATATGGCATGCGCTGTACAACTTTGTAGCTCCCAAAAGTCCCCTTGGAATTCAGTGATGCTTGGAAAGGCAATAGGAAAGTATTGATACACAAACAGAAGAAACAAGAATTCCTTTTCCCGGAGTGCAGAAAGGAATTATTAACCCAAGACTAACAGAAACAAGGGTTAAGGGGCAATAGTCACAAATTGCTACAAGTGACGTTCCAATTAGTTGTGCAAAAACCCTACAATGACAGGGTAGCTGTGCACAGAGGTTGTTGAATCTCAGTCCGTTTCAGAACTCAACCCGAAAAGCAACCTGACCTAACATTTAAGTTAGCTTTGAGAAGGGGGCTGGATTAGATGACCTCCCAAAGTCCACTTCAACATAAATTCTTCTATAATTCTAAGCACACCAAATAAATCAAAGAAGACTTCATTACCTTCCCTTTCTTCCTATAGAAAAAAAAAAAAAAAAAGTGAAATTTAATTCAACTAAAAAAAAAAAAATCAGGAAGTTTAAAATAAACAGATTTTCAGAAACCAGATCAGCTCACCACCTTAAGTCTGTACCTGTACTACTGACTCCAGCAGCTTGGTAGCATGAATTACATTTATGGATACTCTTCCCAACACAGAACTGGATTTGTAAAACCAGTTTTGATAATCTCACACTGCTGGGATCAGAGAAGTCCCAGTGCTGGAGGACAGGCTGTCCACACGCTCTTGCTGTGGGACTTCATATATCTTCTTCTGAAACAGAAGAGGCTAGAGAAATCACAGACTTGATCCAATACAGCCATTCTGTCCATAAGGAATGATTTCTGTATTCAGTGTAGCTGACAGATGTAGAAGGAAAGGTTTGTAAGCTTTAAAGGTACCTTTCAAAATTCAACTATTGATACCTAGCATAAGAAGGCTTAGGGGTGCCAACTTATACATAAAAGTTGCACTTAGGGCCCTAAATGGATTTGATTATTAGGAACACTAATTTTGGTCTTAAAATAGACCAGTACAGAAGGGGATCAACAGTACACCACCACCAGAACAAACATAAGCTTGGAAAAATAAGTTCTTTTTCCAACAAGAAACGTAAGAAAGTCTTTCAGCTTTATTGGTGTAAGCAGGAAAAATAAACCCCTTGATTCCTACATCAGGAGAGCTGGAGGGCCATTCCTTTTTATCTCCAGTGGCTATACTTCATAATCAACACAAGATACACAAATTGAAAAGGTCAAATTTCTGTTACGTGTCCTTGAGGGATTTTAAGAGTCGGAGATTTGATAAGGCACAACAATGTTTTATTAACCCCCGAACTGAACTATCTACATCTGCACACCCTAAGACGGGCGTGTTCCAATACAGATCTGGATGAGAAAGTGCCAAATAAAAATTGATTTTGTGTTTCCCAGATATCCATCTCAAACTCAGAAGTTATGCCATACACACGCAGCCTTTCCTAGCCCCTGCCTGTCATTTCCTATCAGAAACTACAGTTTACTTATACCAGACTAATGTTAATAAGTCTGGGTGCTCTTCAGGTGTCAAGATTTTTAAGACACCTATAGCAGATGAGTTATTGGCAGCATTTTAAGCTCTGCACTGGAACTGCTGTGTCCTCCACGTCAGCTCCCCAGTGTAGCTTGCCACACACCTGTTGATACTTTCACCTGTTGTTCCCTACTTACACAAAAGCAGAACTAGATAACCAGAACCACGTTCAAAATATGTTTAACGCTGAAAAGGACGGATGGTAAAACTTACTCAGCTATCACTTGATGGCTGTCTGCTAGGCATCTCTGCGAGAGTATCTGATGGCTAAGGTATGATACACTCTGTCCTTACCTCTTCGAATATATCGTCAAGTAGTCAGTAGCTTGGGATACATTTTTTTTTTTCTGATCGCGTGAGTTATATTTCCTTAAATATCCCCACCTTTACCACGCACTTAGGCTGCCGGGCCAGCTCTACCAGTGCCTGTGGGAATGGGATCTCCCGCCGCGAGCGGCAGGAGGTGGGGGAGACACCTTAAACCGATGGATCGGCAGCGGGGGCAGCGCTGCCGCGCCGCCGGGCCCGCTCCCCCTCACTGGAGGATGTAGCGCCGACAGAACACGAAGCCGGTAACCCCCCCCCCCCCCCCCCCCCCCCGCCGCTCCCTGGCTGCCGGCCGAGCCTTCGTGCCGGCATAACCGGTCCGGAGCCGCCGCCAGCCTCCGTCCTCCCGCCGCGCCCGCGGCATTTCCTAGTCGCGCCCGCACCCTGCCAGGGCCCGGCTTCCCCCGCACCGCCCGGCCCGGTGAGGCGCCGGAGGCCCGCTCCGCGCAGCCGGTGGAAGGAGCGGCGCCGCCGTTCAACGGCCGCCGCGCGCGGAGGGCTCGCCGCCCCTCACCCGAACACGTGCTCCGAGCTCCAGATCTTCATGGCCGCCCTCGGTCTCTCCCCGGGGGAGGCGGGAGGGCGGCGGCGCCGGGCAGACACCCGCCGGCCGGCCGGCGAGCGACAGCACCCACCGGGGAGAAGTGGGGGAAGGGGGCGGAGCTCCGCGTGCCGGCACTGGACGTACCCAGCCGGCTCCTGCGTCACTCGCGTTCGTCATATCGCCTCGCTCCGCCCGCTCGTGTGGAGCAGCGGCAGCGCGCAGGCGCGGCGCCTCAGAGGGGCGGCTCGGTGCCGCCGGGAAGGTGGTGGGGGGGGGCTGCGCTGCCGTTGACGCGTGGGCCTTCCCGGACGGCGCGCGTGGGAGTCGCGCTTCACACGCGCCAGCGGCGGTTCATACACCGCCCCGCGGCGTCGCCGCGCCCGGGCGGTGCACAGCGCCCGGGCTGCCCTATGCGCCTTTGCACAGAGTGACTCTGTAGTGAAACATCTCGGTGTAGAGTGCATTACGTCAGAGGAACCAATTAAAAAAATAAATAAATAAAGGAGACGATGGGTTTCCTCGTTTCCCACCAGGCTTCGTCGAACGACGGAGTTGCCACGGGGCGGGGCTTGCGGGAGGGGGCGTGGCGCGGAGGGGTCCTTCGAACGTAGAGGAAACGCAGGCGGCAACGCGATGAGGTCAGACGTCGCAGGTGGGGGGTGGGGCCGCGGCGGCGGAGCGGCGGGCAGGGTGGGCCGAGGCGGCGGCGGGGGCCATGGCGCACCGGTACCTGCTGCTGGCGCGGGGGAGCTGCCGGCGCCGGGGGCTCTCCGGGGTCCCGCTGCAGCAGCTGCTCTGCGGGCGGGGCCCGCTGGGGGCAAGGCCCTGCCTGGCGCAGGTGAGGGGCCGAGCGCGGGCCCAGCCGGCCGCTCCGCCGGCCGACAGCGGGGGGGGGGTGGGGGTGGGGGGGTGGTCTCGGTCGCCGCGGTGACGCGCGGGGCGGGGGGAGGCTCCCGGCCTCGCTGCCCGGCGCCGAAGGCTCCTCGCCGCTCCCCGCCGCTCCCCGCCGGCTTCCTCGGCTGCTGGAGCGGCCGAAGGAGAGCGCCGTTCTCGGAGGGGGAGCGTGAGGCGGCACCTGGGAGCTGCCGCGGCGGCACCCCGCCGCTGGCGCCGGGCTGCCGGCGGGTTTTTCAAGCGGTGCGTTCCGCTTCGCTCAAAAGTTGCCTCCGTTGCCTTTTTTTTTTTTTTTTTTTTTTTTTTTTTCTTTCCAGGCTGATGAGTCGCGGTAGGTGAGTTGGCGGCTGCCTGCGCGCAGCGCCTGTGTTGTGTGGGCCGAGCGGTTTGCCCGGGTGTTTGGGGTGGCAGGGGGTGCAGCGGCCATCTGCGGAAAAAGAGGGCGAGGGGCAGGTTGTTCGCCTTCTGGGGCTGCACGGGGCGACAGCCGTACGCGTCTGAACCGGCTGGTCTAGTATTAACTGAATCGTGATGGCTGGGGGGCCATTTTTTGTAAAACGGTTTAGACTGTCAGCTCTGACCGTGTATCACCCTCGCTGTCGACCCTGCTGTGTCAGAGAAATGACAGGTCTGAGCTACTGCTTGGGGAGGGGGAGATGCTTAATCCCTGCATCTTTCAGTGGCATCTTGGGCAGGTTGCTTCATATTTCTGTGGCGAACAACTTCACCTTTGTGGTATGAAGGTTATCGCTAGGATAGTGATAACTGTGAGATGGATACGCACGAGGATGTTAGTAACATAGTCCCAAGTGTAAATACGTGTTTTGTTTTTAACGTTGAGTTTGTGTTTGGTCAGAGCTGCACATCGTCACAATAGTAAATAAAACACTGTCAGCAGCACTGCTAATCTGTCAGGAAGCTAATTCTCATTTCTGTCAATAAAATGTAATGAGTTTTTCTTTGGAATGGAACATAGGAACTATGAAGAGAACTTTGTATTCATCCTAGCATCTGAGTATGTGCATAGGTAGCAAAACAAGGAACTTTGTTTTCATAAAAGCCATTACCTTTTTTTATCTTTCTTTATATAAACAAAAAAATGAGTAACTTTCATTAAGTTAGAATTCTTTACCAGCTTTCTGTCCCCAACTTCCCACACGTGCTCTTATGTAATAATTTGGTCACTATTCGATAATTAAGACTTCTGGCTTAATTTTGTTCCGTTTGATTTGGAGCTTGTTTACAGATAAAGCTGTAAACTTGTAATTTTCTAGAATTAATGGATTCTCAGTCTTTTGCTTGCATAGCTAAGCAGGTGGATTTTCTGTTCTTGCTTTGTGTAGCCTCAATTTTTTAAAAAATTGATTATAGTTACAAAATTTTTGTAAAGTCAGTAGTTCTGCTTATTTAAAGTTACCTAATTTATTTAATTATGGAACCATGGAGAAGGCACGTATTTGATGTTGCAGATCTTGGGTTTACATTGCTCTCCAGAGTAGTAACACTTTCTGGGTTGTTTTAACTGTAAAACTGACCCAGACTGACTTTGTTTATCTTGAACTTCTATTTGAAGAAAAAAAAAAAAAAACAAAAAACAAAAAGTCTTGGTTTTTAGGAAGCTGTCACAAAATTTGCTTGGGAAAAGATATTAGATAGGGTTCTTTTGATTTATATGCCTTGACACCTTTTTGATCTCTGATTGAGAGAACCTGGGTAGCATTTCCTGGTAGATAGCCCATAACAGCATCCAGTCAAAATGTGCTTTGTTTGTTTTCCCTCTGCTTAGGCAGTGGGTGTGCTTATACCAGCTGTGCTCGGTCTGGCATTCCCATTGGCAGCTGACCCAGGACAGGTACTGCATCAGGATCAATATAACCAGTTTTCATGCTAATGATTTACAAAGTCAAAAACCAAACTAAAACCAACCCAAACAAGCAATTGTTACCAGTGTAGTGTGGTTCTAACAACTTTTGCATTTTTGGAATGCTCAGGTGAAAGGAAACTGCACTTTTCAGTAAACTGACTCATGTAGACCTGGAAGCATGAAAGCACGCCTCCAGTCAGGTGATTTACTGACTGTGCCATGAAGTCAGTTGTTCCCTTTTCTCACAAAGCAACTTTAAAAAAACCTCAGCTCTCCGCATGTTATCTTGGCAGGTGACTATGAATTTTTTCATGAAATTTAGGATCTGTAGAGACAATTCATCAACAAAGCAAGTTCCATTATTCAGGTCTGCCCCAAAGCTCTATCTGCTTACCCTTGGCTCCCTCCTTGTCTCTCCCTCTTCCCTGCACCCTCACCCCCAACCTGATTAAACTGTAACTTAATTCTGTAATAAACCCATGCTGGTCTAGCTGAGCCTGGCAGTTGGATTGGCTTACTCAAACTTTTATTTTAAATGAGCAGTTGCTTTATTTTAGTTGGGGTAAAGGTTTCTGAATATTCCTGTCTTGTTACAAATAAAAAGTGATATTAGCTTGTTGAATAAGTAACTCCCAAATTTTTTGGTGTTGTAGGAGACCAGTGACACAGGAATGAAGCCTACTAGTATTACTGGACATAGCTCTGAGTTTCATCTGTTGCTGCAACATCCATTGACTTTTTGTAATCGAACTACAGATGGGTTGATCTGTGGCAAACTCTTTTTATGTCATTGCTCACACAGGTGTATCCCACTTGTCCTAAAGCTTCTTCTAGAAGCATAGATGCAATTGCTCATGTTGGAGGTTATCGTGTGTTGGACCTAGCAGCTATTGTCTGGATGAGCTGCTTTCTAGACTGTCTGCACTGCACGTGCTTTTCATGATCAGTAAAATATCCTCTTGATTTTTCAGTATTAGACTTTATTCAAAGACATGCACTGTCACAAAAGAGTGGCTGGATCAAGCAGCCTAAGAATTCTTAGCTCAGTCTACAGCAAAAGGAAGCAACAAGGATGTTTTGGTATTCCTCTTTGTTCCAGCAGGTGGAACTAGATGGCTGCTCGGAATAAGTCTAATGTATTTCATCATTTAATAGGGGGTGGAAGGGGAAGCTCCAAGGTAGAAGGCTTCTGTAGAGTTAGAATGCAATTAATGATATGTCAGCATTCCTAAGGTAGTCTTGACATGTAACCTAGTATCCTACAAGTTTGTTTAATGTGCAAGAATAGGTTTTGTCTACAACCATTGTAACTTCACTATAACAAAATTGCTGTGGAGATGCTAACACTGAGCTTTCTTTCACAAATGTAGTCCTAGAGGTTTTAGTCCTAAGTGGATGTTCACTGTCTTGTATGGATACCTTGAGTTATGTTTCCAGGACCTATTGTTTTCTGGGTTTGGGGGTGTTTTTTTGTTTTTACTATTTCTCTGGCTCTTAAGGTAAATAACTTGTAATGAAAAAGAACCGAAGGAATCTGAGCACCTCTGTGGGGCAGAAGAGAATGGAGGCAGAAAGTCAGCCTGTGGGGAAATCTTGATATGAATAATTCTATTTTTTTTTCTTAAAAGCACTGGGAAAGCATAGGAAGGGTATAAATTGGGATTTTTATCTAAACCAATGTCCTTCTTGGAGAAAAGGGGTTTGATTTCTGTGTAATAAAATTGCAGTTTACTGGTTTTAAGTATTCAGTTATGATACAAATATTTAGAATTACTAATTCTTAAAACTTTTGGTATTTCCTCCATTGCAATTAAACGGCGATTAACAATAAACAATTAGTCTTAGAACAATGTGTAATAAACTTGGGTTTCTTGTGTTTTTATAACTGGATCTTTACCCACACAGTGGTTTAGGTCTGTTTTTTGAACTGGCGTTCCTCCTCTGCATTGGTTTCTTAGCTGGATGTAAGCGTTGTCTGCCATATCCCTTTCTTTTGGTTTCAATCAGATCTTTCATATTCAGAAGTTACATTTTCTTAACTATTTGGAAAAAGTTGCAGTTCTTTAACAAAACATAATTCAGTACTGTGTGGATTGTGCTTGTACAATCACAGTGTTGCACTTAAGTGTCTTTCAGCTGGCATTATGAAATATTTCCCATAGGATCAGTATTTAGGTGTTTAATGTCCATAGCTTGTAGTGTTTCCTGCTTGATTTTTCCCTTTTAACAAAGAATGTTAGGCTTGTATGTAAGATGAAACTCTGCTTTTAACAAATAGAATAGAAACTTCCTTGCTGTAGAAATTATCCATTTGATTGACTTTTCCGTTGTTGTCTTATACTCTGGTCCACAGCAGTTACAGTGAAGTCTGTTGTAAAGTAATATATTGCTTGTTGCAGTTCAGG